GTTGCGCTCGCTACAAAAGTGCCATGTGAGCTGGCAGTAACTTAGGGTTGACATGATGAATAAGGGAGAAATTGTATTTTTTGTTAGTTTATTTAAGTGTGGTCCAATCCTTTTAATTGTTTTGCTGCTTATTTTTACAGATTTCCGATATCTGTTTGTTAACGTCCAGCTAAACATCAATGGTCATTATAAGTAGCTTAACTTAATCATTACATTTGATAGTGCATCCATTTATTTTGAAGACAATGTTGATTTTATGTGTTTTATTACCAATGTCTTAGTATGGCTTTAAATATTTCATTGGTATAGTTAAACCACTAATTTAAATATATTATAATTTGATATTTAATGAAGTACATTTGTTTCATATTCTTATATGAAAATATTTTTAAAACCACGAAAAAACTATTAGTTACATAGTGTGTTAGTGACCTAATACGATATATATGGGGTCAGTAAATTCCATATGGGGTGAGAGCGCGAAGCTCGAATCCCATAAGGAATTTCTGACCCCGTATATATCGTATTAGGTCACTAGCACACTATGTAACGAATTTATCTTACCGACTATCTTTATTTGTTGAATTTATACTAGAGTTGTCTCATTTGCAATCATACCACATCTTCTTATTTTTATATTAAAGTGTTCAAGTGTTCAATTTTAAGAACCTAATTCCATTGGTATGCACAAAAAAACTAATGTCAACAATAACAATTTAATATCATTAACCTTGATATCACAATATTAAACAGAACTTTCAATACATTTTAATAATCAAATAGTGTCAAAGTCGTAACTCCACTACTAAACGTGTATTGAAATAAGCCCCGCCTCCCTACTAACCTTATATGGAATATACATGGTCTCCACGCGGACACTTTTAACCAATCATATTCCTAGAAATGTATAGGAGGTAAGATAAAATTCAATCTCAATCCACGAAAACTGGTACCCACGAAAATAAATGAATCCACAGTATTTAATTTATCTTTTTTTAAATCGACTTATGAGATTTGAACATCGGTAAGGTACTGTCGTCTTGATTTAGTAGTAAATACAAATACATTTGTTTGTGTAATACAAGTAATGGCAATCATGATGTATCAGCCATCTGTGATGAAATCGATATCAGTCATGATTGCAAAGGCTTTATCAAATCCCTAATATGTATGACATGACGTCATGTCAACGAAATGAGTTACAGTTGCAAAGACTTTATCAAACCCCATTACTACATAGATTTCTTTTTCTTTTTTTCATTTTGTGCAGTAAAGTATGCACCATTTGATGCTAGTACTATCACTTGGACGTTTTGCTCCCAGTTTATGACCAGCCAAGTAAAAGAGGGGCGAAAGATACCAGAGGGACAGTCAAACTCATAGATCGAAAATAAACTGACAACGCCATGGCTAAAAAAAATAAAAAGACAAACAGAAAAATAATAGTTCACAAGACACAACATAGAAAACTAAAGACTAAGCAACATGAACCACACCAAAAACTGGGGGTGATCTCAGGTCCTCCGGAAGGGTAAGCAGATCCTGCTCCACATGTGGCACCCGTCGTGTTGCTCATGTTATTACAAATCCGGTAAATAGTCTAATTCGGTAGGTCACATTCGTGGTGAAAAAGGAAGTGGATTGTAATTACGACATAAGGAACATATCCGATATCATCTGTGAAACGTTTATTCCATAACGGTCAACCAACTCGTGATGGCGTCCGTAAAATTTACGAAGAGATGATTTCAACTTCATTTTGGAACTCTTGGTTTAATAGCTTCTTTGTGAGCAACAACCTCTATCAAGGAAATCATGATAGGAAATACAAGCCCAAGAATATAACTCAGTATTTTATTGCTGGCACAAAAATCCCGAAAAATATTTTATGAGATGTGATGTTATGAACTTTTTTTAAATATAAGTGAGTGCGTCTCCTTCATGCAAATATCTCCTGAATCATCGCCCTTGTTTAACAATACTTTTATTCCCTTTTGGTTATATCACCTCGTCAACGTTGTAAAAGATTTTGGATGGTCACATATTGGCCTCGAAGCTCACCGAACAGATATTAATTTGATTGTTGAAATGTGCATTAATTGTAATGGTTTAGTGTATTTTTTCTACTGCTAGATCGTTTGACCTGTTCTGAACTGATAGTTCCCGCAAATATCAACAACCCAGAAGCGCAATATTTCATTTTAGGCATGAAAATATGGATATACTTTTTGCTGTGATAGATCTACAAAATCTTTTGAAATTATGGAATGAATCTCTCTCGTGTATAAGCCTAAACCATTTTCTGGCTTTGGCTATACATTTTATTCCTTTCGGTAATATCAGCGGGTCAACGGTTGTAATAATCAATTGAGCATCACTAAAAAGACTAGACCCGTTTTTAATGGGGTTGTAGATAGGCAGTCTTTAGTTTTCTACATAATGTTCTGTAGATTTGTTTGTCTTTTCCTCGTCTTTCGTATTTTGCCTTTGCGTTGTCAACAATGAAATTACAAAAATACCGAACTCCAAGGAAAATTCAAAACGGAAAGTCCATTATAAAATGGCCAAATCAAAAGCTCAAACACATCAAACGAATTGAAAACAACTGTCATATTCCTGACTTGGTACAGGCATTTTCCTTTTGTAGAAAATGGTGGATTAAACCTGGTTTTATATCTAGCTAAACCTCTCACTTGTATGACAGTCGCATAAAATTTCATTATATTGACAACAAAGTGTGAGAAAAACAAACAGACATAAAAGGTAAAAATGTCAAAAATTTGTTCAGCAGTCACCACTGTTTTTCTCATTTTCAGTTATCAGTTTATCTTCGTCTTATCAGTTTTTAATGTTCCTTTGGTATCTTCCGTCTTTTTTTTTTTAAAGTTTTCCCATAGTACCTGAGTTCTGTCCGCCTCTTTTTTGTTTCATGCTCATGATGCTCAATTTTCTTTGTAATGAATTTTCTGTCCAATAGTAACATTCGACACTTGAGATTCTTTACTTTGATAATGGCATTGTTACCTGTTTATATGCCATGAACAGATCAGGCGTGTTGTTCTGTTATGCTCAAATTTCGCTTTTAAAACAACATTACGAATGATATTCAATTTGAAAATGTTTTATGATTTAATTAATTAGGAACTTTGAACGTAGAAACACTCGTGTTAACTGTTTGTCCGACATTTTAAGTTTTTGTTCTATGAAAACCTTTTTAAAGCTTTATTGTTTAGTCTATTCACTGGAGTTTTTAAATTATACAGTGATGTTCTATTTACAATGTAACCGCTTCTTAAGTTTATATCTTTGATAGTACGAGAAAATGGTATGCACACTGAAATTTCTCGCCTGATTGTTACATAGCGTAAGATATTGTTTCCGTTTAAGTTGATTTTTTTTTCTTCAGTTTTTAGTTCTTGGTAACATTAGTGGCAGGAATATTGGATGGTAATTGGAACATCACCCACGGCTTTTGTGGGATTCGTGTTGCTTAGTCTTTAGTTATTTATGTTTTCGTAGTCTGTTTTTTGTCTTTTCGGTGATTTTGTCTTTTGCTCTGATTTTGTCAGTCTCTCTTCGACTTGTGAGTTTGGTATCTTCAGCCCCTTTTCTAGTGTGGTCATTGACCGTACGAATGTGAAATGATTTACTAGTAAAACATAATAAACTTATCCTTTATCCTAAGGTTGGTAACTACAGCCCTTTACTAGATTTGCATAACTGTTTTGGTAAAAAGTTGGTTGGTTAAGTTTTTTTATTTATGTCCAATCGATTGACGGTGCCGTTTCTGATGAGTCAGATACAGGATGCCTGTTGTACTTTCTAATAGACATGATATATCAAACCATATTTTGTGTACGTCTTCTGGGTTTATTTGAACATTACTTAAATGGGTCCACATATTTTTGTCTGTACTATTTAGTTAACAGGTTTCATGATTCAATGTTAATATCTTTGTTCAAATAACATTGTTTCGTTCTTTTGAATTGTAGTTTGATTACTATCTGCCAAAATCAGCTCTCAGCTAATGACCGCAGATCAACTGGATTATATGTGTGTCAATTTTGAATAATAATATCCTCCACATTTAATGTACAAAAGGGCCCTCCGTGGCCGAGTGCTCTACGTAGTTCAACCACTGTATCACTAGCCTGTCAACACTGAGGTTGTGAGTTCGGGCCCCGCACTTGGAAGGTGCGCTCGCCTCCAATTTCAATCGGCAAGGATTTCCAGTTTTCCTGCTGAAGGTCAGTGGCTCTCTCTGGACAGTGCGGCTTTCTTCACCAATAAAAACTTGACCGCCACGAAATAGACAATAGTGTTGGATATGTCGTTAAACACCAATCAATCAATCAATCAATAATGTACAAAAGTTGCGTGATAATTGTTATGATATTCTACATGCATTACAAATATTGCTTGACAAATACCCTTATTAGTCTCTTTCAACTAACTTGATGTTTTCTTTAAAGCAAGCATAAGGTGTACTAACAAGCTATCGTGTACAAGAAATCAATCAAGGGACTTGATGCCTTAGGAAAGGATTTTGTTTTTTTATAAAAAGTTGAATTAAAGTGATGTTTTTTATTTTTTTATTCATTTTTTTGTGCATGAATAATATCTTTTATTTCAAATCACATGGAATACATAGACCCTAAGAAGTCCCTGTCTTTATTTTAAATGTCCCATTTGCCAGGGAAAATACAAATGGGTTAATAAAATTACTCTCTACATAATATATTCTATATAAAAACTAGCATCTCTTTTCAATTAGTATTCTACACTCATTAACATCTTGCATTTTCAAATAAATATATCCTTTTGAAATACAATTATAAAAATATAGTTAACTGTTTATTTTTTATCTAGTTTTAGTTCTTTCTAACCATTAGTACTGTTTAAAGTTCAAATCCTATCTCGCATAAACAAAAGAAAACCAATTATGATATCTTTTGTTATTTAAATTGTGTTCCCGTTTTATCAACTGAATAAATGCCAAATCAAGAGGTTCTCGAACGCTTTATTGTTAGAATAAATATTCAATATATATACATTTCACAAAAGTACAAATGTGAGTAAAAAATTAAATAATAAAGATTAGTATAAAAATAAATAGTTGTATGAAAGACCATTCCCATAATTACTAACGGTTTTCACTCCTCATGGAAGGTATTCATAAAATATTACTTCACACTATGTCTAATTGACTTACATTATACATGCATCTAATTTTTTATTCGTATCAGGTAAAGAAAATAAAGTCATTCATATTAATCAGATAAGGAAAAATCTTTTAAAAAAACAATGAACCATTGGTAAAATGGCTTTTTAACCTGTAGTCATAACAGACAAAGAATGGAGAAGTCAAAATGTCACCAACATGTTTTATGTTTTAAAAAGAGGCCAAGGATACCAAAAGGAAATTCAAACTCATAAGTCGAAAACAAAACTGACAACGCCATGGCTAAAAAAATGACAAAGACAAAGAAGCAAACAACAGTACATAAAACACAACATAGAAAACCAAAGACTGAGCAAAACGAACACCACTAAAAATGGGTAGGGTAAGCAGATCCTGCTCCACATGTGTCACCCGTCGTATTGCTAATATTAGTACAAACCCGGTAATAAGTCTAATTCGGTGGGTCACATTCGGGGAAAAGGGAACGGGATTGTAGTTACGACAATTGGAACACATCCGTTGTAATCTATGAAACGGATACTCCATAACGGTCAACTCGTGATGGCGTCAGTAAAAATTACGAAGGAATGATTTCAACTTCACCAATTGGAACTCTTGGTTTAACAGCTTCCTTGTGAGTAGCAACCCTCTATCCAGGAAATCATGATAAGAAATACCAGCTCTGTAATATCGTATCATGTGAATGAATTAAATAATGTCTATTACATAAATTTCCAGACAAATTGTTACTATTAACACACTGAAAAGGGAAGTATATTTACCTTAACAATACAAATTGTTCTTAATTATGTTATGGTAGACTTAAATAAAAGTTATTATAATTATATAAAACTTCAATCACTTAAAAATACACTGTAAACACTACATTTTTTTCTGACTTGACTCCTGTCATATAAAACTAAGAAATAAATCTAATGTATGAATGTAATAAATTCAAAATGAGAATTTAAATCAGTGTCCAAAACTATTACTGATTAATACCACTCGATCATTCGAGAAAATATTGAATACACTCAACCAAAATATAATGATGTATCGAAACTCCTTTTGCACTGAGTACAACATGAAGTATATATGTAAAAATGAAATATTGTGGATTCATTTATTTTCGTAGATTGAGGAAAAATGGTGTTTTCGTGGATATATATTTTCGTGGTTTTGCCAAAGTATACATGGATATTTGAATTTTTGGTTTACGTTTATTCATGAAATCCGCCAAAATTGGTATCACATGAATTATGATGAAAAGTAAAGGCAACAGTAGTATACCGCTGTTCAATAGTCATAATTCGATTAAGCAAAAACAAAACCGGGTAACAAACTGAAACCGAGGGAAACACACAAACTATAAGAGGAAAACAACGGAACAACATAAACACTGAACTACAAAAAAAGCAAACGCCAACATACATAGAAACAAACTGTCTGATAACAACTGCCATATTCCTGACTTGGTACAGGATATTTTAAGAAAAAATGGTGGGTTGATTCTGGTTTTATGGCTAGCCTCCCGTTAGTATGACAAAAATGTTAAAAATACCGCTGAAATGACAACACTACGTGACAGGAGTACAGTACAAACAAACGCAAGAACACTCAGCACAGAGAAATACATAAATAAATAATATAATAGTACATTACAACATGTAAAAAGTTAAATCACAAAAATACTAAACTCCGACGAAAATTCAAAACGGAAAGTTCCTAATCAAATGGCAAAATCAAATGATAAAACACATCAAACGAATGGACAACAACTGTCATATTCCTGACTTGGTACAGGCATTTTCAAATGTAGAAAATGGAAGATTGAACCTGGTTTTATAGCGCTAAACCTCTCACTTGTATGACAGTCGCATCAAATTCCATTATATTTACAACGATGCGTGAACAAAACAGACATAATAGGTAAACCGCAGAATAACAACGGACACCTCCCATGAATTTACGACAGCACACCAGGACACCACAAACGAAATATGAACTGTGCGTCAAATGAATGTATCAACGTCACAAAAAGTGACGTTTATATTACCACAGGTAAATTTCTAAAAATAAGATATGTGTTTTATTTATAGACACGTACAAGAATATTAAATTGGGATTGAGTTTGTAATGATGTTATTTTATGTATTTTCTAACCATGAGAAGAATATTAAAATGGAATTGTGTTTGTAATGGTGTTGTTATTTGTATTTTCTAACCATGTCGGTTTTTCTTCTAAATCAAAACTGTGTATAAACAAAAATATCCTGAGCATATAGTTGCTTTAAACATAAACATAAAATCATATAAATGAATTAGCTGATTTTTTATCTTAACTTTAACATACATATAGGGAATAAAAATATAAGGCAAGATCATTTAAGACCAAACAGTAAACACACATGAAAACAAACAACATAAAACAAAAATCAAAAACCCTGTAGGCGAACTCACTGTGAAACCCACAGTATAGCTATTCACACCAAAATAAATAAAACAATATTTGCATGTTGACGAATTATTATCCGTTTAAATCTGTCTGATGCTTAAAAAAGTCTATTATCAGCATTCATTTAGTCATGATAAAAAATAGAGCCATGTAATTGTTAACAAATTATAACACAATCATATTAAAACAACAGTTTTTATGACATTGCTGAATTATTTGTTATTTTTTATCAATAGGCCATGATTTATTTTCTTTGTTCACAAAAAGTGTCTCCCTTTACTATACATAAATTTCACATTTCGTCGTCTGGTCCCGCTTTATTATCAGATATCGATCCTCTCCTTAATTATGGGAGTGGAAACAGGGAAATGTGTATTCGAATCCTCAGTAACTGTGTTATCATTTCTTTGACTGTATGTGGAAGTATTACTATATTGTTGAGGTTGTTGAGGTTTTGTTTGACGTGATATGACATTATCACAATCTTATTTTACTCTCAATGGTTGAAGTTCGATATAACAAGATTTCTCCTTACACAACTGTTCTTTGTTGATGTAGCGGCTTTTGTTATGGTCGATATCTTCATTGAACTTATTCTGATCAGTCGGATGAGGTGGAGCTTGCTCCATTTTTGTATAGTGTGACGGTTCACCATTCATTTTTAGATAGCCATTATATCCACACGCCCCTTTGCTCGATTCATCTTCTGTCTTGTCTGAATCCACCATTTTTAAGTAACTGGATGTATATAAATTCAAGTAATACTGAAAATATAGTTAATACTTCAAGGTATGCAAAGTCTATATATACATATCATATCATGTTTGTAAATTTATAATTGAAATCTGAAACATGAGAAAAGATAAATCAAGATAGGATGTGGGATAAATTCTCATCAGAAGAGTCAAGAAATTAAAAACTATATACATTAAGCAAAATTAAAATTATCAATTAAAAGAGATAAATAAAATTCTTTCCCGCACTTTTTCAATCTGGAAACACAGAGATTTGTAGTTGTTCCAAACATAAAGAAGTATTTAGAATATTGTTTTCCAAAGACATATATATGAGGCCTCGGTGGCCAAGTGGTCTAAGTAGTTACTACTGAAATCACTAGCCAGTCAACACTGAGGTTGTGAGTTCGAACCCCGCTCGTGCGGGTGCACTCGACTCCAATCTTAATTGACTAGGATTGTCAGTTTTCCAATCGAAGGTCGGTGGTTTTCTCCGGGCACTCCGGCTTCCTCCACCAATAAAAACTGGCCGCCACGAAATAACCCAAAAGCGGTGCTTAAAAGTGGCGTTAAAACACCAAAAATCAATCAATCAATCCAAAGACATATGTGAATAAACTCAGTATATAATGTACTTGTGTGGAATATCTGCTGATGGCATTTACACAAAACAGTGCTATGGAAACCAAACCGACTTTAATCAATGTAGAACCCACACTTCCCTTAACATTCTGGTATGGGACAATGTGGAATAAGAGTCTTATTTGGTCTAGTTTTGAATGAGATTTAAACTTCTAATTTACAGTTATAAAACATAAAAACAAGTAGTTAAAGCCCCAAAAGTCACTCTACATTCTAGGGGGGAAAAACATAGATTAGAGTCAACTTCTAAAGACTTGGCTATTATTTTAGGTCCTTTTTTATTATATAGCTCTCCAACTGTTTCGGTTGTTATACATCCTAGGCTTTCAAATATTCGGCTTTGAGCGTTCCTGATGAAGGTAAATCCTTGTTTTCATTTTTTTCTAAGTATTTGTGGATCCCCATAATAAAAAGAACGAATGAGTATTAACTAAATAACATACAACACATTCAATTTGTCTCTATTAACAACATATTCCTTGTAAATCTTTTATTTATTACTTACACATGTTCAATATATCTCATCCAATGCATTGGTTAAAACTATGCATTTGTTAATTTTTGTCAAGTAAATTTATGTTATTATCGACTCTTTTCTTTCTAGTTGATCAAATTATTGAAAGTCCTTTTAGTGTAAATTTCTTAAATACGTGTTAGTATATTCACGCAAAAGTCACAATTCTTCGTTAATCTTGAATTATAATGCCAAATTGGGCCCCTTCTTCCTTTTTACATAAAACATTTTATATTCTTTCTTTCATAATGTATTGGTAAAATCCTACTTACTCATTATTGCAATATGCAAAATGTAATCAGAGAGGATTTTTTCCTTAGAGTATCAAATAAATATAACTGGATTTTCGGTGACAATAATAATGTAGTAAATCTCGTTTAAAGTTAAATATTGACGAGTATATTTGATAAACCACTGACAGAGCAGGACATGTTAATATTGGTTTGGTCTCAAGTATACACTAGAATTTTTGTGGGGATGTATAAGTACTGTGCCACGTCCGGTCTGTGTTTTTGTTAGATGTATTTCTGCTTCGTATGGATCTGATGAGTTGAGCCCTTTTTAACTGATTTTTTTATATTTTGTTCTTATGTTGTACTGTTACACCGATGTCCTAGGTTGGGGTGGGGGAGGGGGTGGTTTGGCCGGGGGGGGGGGGGGGGGGGTTGCTGTATATCATATATGTTTTTGGTTCATTATTTTGAACATAAATCAGGCCGTTAGTTTTCTCGTTTGAATTGTTTTACATATGTCCTTTCGGGGCCTTTTATAGCTGACTATGCGGTATGGATTTTTGCTCATTGTTTGAGGCCGTACGGTGACCTAAAGTTGTGAATTTCTGTGTCATTTGGTCTCTGGTGGACAATTGTCTCATAGGAAATCATACCACATTATTTTATATCTTATTTTATATAGAACAATGCATTCAATTACTCTGCACTATTACAGTGATATACGTCTTACGTAAACTCTGAAAACTGACAGCATGAATGTTTAGGAACGTTGTACTAGGAATAACGTATACCTGTTTAACATCAGCTTCTAATAAATCTCCCATTTGACAGGCCAATTGTGTAAAAGTTGGTCTTTCATCTGGTTCTGTCCTCCATGTTGCTTTCATAATTTTATACCTAGATAACAAGATATATTTATTGGGTTTAACCTGACACAAATTCAAGATATCATACACTTATCAGAAACGTACAAAATTGAAGTGGTAATTGTTTTTTATAGATTTTACGTGAGAATTTGACTCGTTAGAATGGTGTTTTACGCTTGGAATTTTAAACATGTTGAATTTAATGAATCATTTATTAAATGGGTTAAATCAATGTATAACAGACGTTCAAATATGTTTCATAAATAATGGGTCGGTATCAGAAATTTCACAAAAATTAACATGGAATACGACAAAAATACCCTATATCAGCTTTACAGTTTGTTTTGGTTGTTGGAAGTTTGGCTCTAAGAAAATTACAAAGACACAAAGGAATCACTGTTAAACTAGATTGAAGAAGTCATAGCATTACAATTCGCAATTGGCTGATGAAACAACATAATATTGAAATGAATGAAATAGAATTTGTTGGTTTGTTTTCAGGTTTAATGATAGATAAAAAAAACCCAGAAGGATTATGGATTTATAAATTGAAATCATATAAAGATAAAATGGCCGAGATTGATTGGGGATATAGACCTATTAAGGTTTAAGGGGTGTTGTTCGGACATGATAAAGAGGAACGCCTAAACATTAAATTTGGGCTGTGTGTAAATGAGTAGAACTTTAATGAGAAACTGGAACGTGTAATCAGGGGTGTACGGAATTTTTCATTGTAAAATTCCGTACACCCCTCATTACACCAAGAAAACGAATTTATTTCTTATAAAACGTTCCTTTGCTTCATTTTTATACCTTGTTGTAAAATTGATAAAAACAATTTTTTGGTAAGATTTTATTTTGGCTAAAAAAAAATGTTTTTTTCATTTAAGCAAAATTTCATCTTTTTTGTAATTTTAGCATATTTTTTTTTTTTTTACTTTTGGCATTTTCTGGAGTGGAATTTTACACAACAACTATTTTTACTTTGAAATGTATATTTTTAACTTGAGTCACCGAAACGTTCATTACAAATCATAAGACTTGCTGACTTAAACAAATGTACATAATAGAAATAAGATACTTTATTTAGGAGAACAGCTGACGTCGACGATAAACTAACCCTGCAAAGATATCACTTAGGCAGATAATTTGTTGATTGGATGTCTCCACAGTGTTCCAATCGCTTTTTAGCAATTCGATTCGCCAATTGTATTTTATACCGCAACACTGTATTCCGTTTGAATGGTTGCAAACGCAGACGATTAAAAAACTCAGAGATGAAATAACACGAACTCATTACTTAAAATAATTCAAAACTAATGAGAGCATTTATTGTATCTAGCCCCGATTCCGAATTGAAAATTATATAAGAAAAATCGCATAATACATTTGTTATCTCTGCAACCACGTTTTACGAGGTCATTCAGTATGTTTCGACATTTTGAGACGGTCCCTCTATTTTTGTAGTTAGTGTAGTTTTCGGTGTCGGTGAAAGTGTCTGTGTATACGCCTTTTCGAAAATGTCTAATATGGTGGACTAAATTTTTTAAATTTCATGATAAACCCTTTATCTTTGAAAACTGGCTTAAGGATGATATAACATACTTAAATGAGATTTTAGATAACTTTTTAAATTGACCATTTGTAAACATGTCATTATTATAAAACTATATTTTAAACTATTGAAGTGTGAGGTAAACTGGATTGCTGAATTTCATAAATTGAAACAATCTTTCCAGAAGAGTGGGTTCACATTGTTTAAAAAAGAAATTTCAATTAGAAGTACAGGAAACGTTCACAGAAAAAAGATTATGTGGAAAGATCGTTATATTGATACTTCATACTTGTCAATTTTTTTATATGATTTATTAGTACAAAATAAAAAAGAATCACCAAAAGGGATAAACAGATGGCTTAGGGTTTTAGCAGTACAAGAAACTCCAAATATGAATTCATTGTATAACTTTTTTTAATATCTGACTGAAAATAAATTTAAAATCTTCAGATGGAAATTATTAGTTTGTTATTCCGATATAAAGCCGTTTATTACAATGGAAAATAACTTACAACAATATATGTAATTTTCAACCTAGAAGACAACTATACTAATTATTTTTGTAGTTGTTCATATTTGAAATGATTTTGGAAACAAGTTCACGATCTCTTTAAGAGAAGTGATAAAGATCTTGTGATAAAATTACAACTTCTTATATTTGGATACAAAATCGCAGACAACAAGTATAACTTAATTGATTTCTTAATTACCATTCTTTGTTTTTTCTATAAATGAGTCATATTATGTATCTGAACAGAAAACAAAAAATGTTGATATCTACAGATTTTTTTGAAAATGAACATAATAAGAGAGCAGGCATCAATATTAATGGACATAATATAGCAAGTCCATTTTTTTTAACAATAAAAAGACTAATTTTGATTAAATGTTATTATGTAAAACAAAATATATATGTCAATAAAATTTATCATCTGATCATTCCCTGGGTAGTCAGTGGATTGTAACTGGGTACGTCAAGAGAAACTTGGATTCTTGATTAGTTTTGTCACTTGCAGGATTTGATCAATTAAAATATAATATTTAAAAAAAAACAAAACAGGATGTTTACATTTAAATACATGAAAACGTTTAGGTACATGTATGGATTAATCTTAAGGTAGCACAATACAAAAGTTTTTTCACCCCCAATCAGACAACTTCAAACTGTTGTAATTTCTTTTATCCAGCTCTAAAATTAATAATTGAGGAACCAAAAGAAAGAAGAAAGATTAATCTTTTAAATGGTGATAATTTTATTATTACATAATTATTATATAATTCGTTATTATGTAATTAGTTGCTAGATTCAGATGTCCACATTTGAATGAAATTAGCTTCTTTTTTATTCATAGCATCCCAACAATTTTGATAGTTTCTTGTGCAACACACTTTGACCTCCAAAACCATGTCTCAGATTTTTCCTATTGTATTTCATTCTCTCATAACCCTTCAATTAAGTTTGCAACATTAATTCATAAGAAATCACTCAATTTAATTAGGTATAAAATTTGTTCTATTGATGTTATTGGAAATCTGAGACATAGTTTTGAAGATAACTGGTCAAGGAACAACATGTGGTAAATTCAGGCATATGGGGCACCCGTCTAGGAGCTAATTTCATTTAAAACTACATTTTCATGACAAAATGTATGTGTCACAATTGAATAAATAAGGATTTTCCTATTTGAACCTTATTAACTTCAATATCATTCACACATGTACCATGGGAATACTTCAGGATTGGCCTTTAATCATAAATCAATTAGGTTTTGACCAGTAAGAAAGCATTCCATTTCAGCAATTCTGAATATATAAAGAAAATGCACACCCTATGCATCAAAAACCAGATCTGGCGGGAGAAGTTATATCATTATTGACCTTGCTGTAAGTCAGTTGCTACTGATATGGCCAAAACCCCGCCCACCTGGATAAACATCAACTATTAATGATGTCAGAAGTTTAATTACACATTGCATTTGCTTTTTTCAATAAGGATTTTTTATTCAATTTGTACATGAAACAATATATTTTGTTTTTAACATTTTCCCAAAGAGTAAGTTAAGCATGTATACATAAAATCATCAGTTGGTCAGTCATGGGGATTCTTATGGGGGGATTTCTAGAATTATAATTGTATACAATGAAAATATGGTGTTATTTTTGTAGTTTGAAAATAAAATTTTTAATTTGTTTTTTTTCTTTTAAAAAGAATTCATATTTTCACATTTTCCCCAGGAACATCTGATGTAACCATCAGCATTAACATAAGTAACATTAATTGTTGTACAATTATATTTGTTTAATCCGTACATTTTATATATGATTCCCTCTATAGCTCCAAATTATTTGTTTGTTTTTTCTCCTAGCAGTTTCAATATAGAAATATTTTTTTATTTGGATTTCATTATCTTCTTTTTTCTATAAACCCCGAATTCAACCTCTTTTCTTTGACTGTTTATATAGCTGGTCAGTGGTCATAAAGCTATCAAATGATTCTATTGATTAACCACAAAAGTACTGCCCACATGTTTTTATTTGTATCAGTCAGACACGTGCATTTGTTTATAAAACTAATTATCATCAAAACTCATTAACAGTGCAAGATATGGAAACTTATTTTTCTTCTGTGGTTTTGTAATATCAAGATGTAACGAAAATGAAATTTTGATAAAAGTTACAACTGACTAAAAAGATCAGACAAACATACAAATAAATCTGACATAAAGACAACAAAAAAGGTTTTCATTAGATTCATTTCCAAGTGCTCCAATATTGGAGGAAACTACGAAAGAAGAAGAAGAAGAATGCCATACTAGTATACTACAATATTAAATTTCTGTGATAATAATAAGAAAATTTCACAAAACATAAAATAATACAACTAGTTGAACCTCTATACTATTAAACGAGAAGACCTCATTTTGTGTGTCGCTTCTCTTCTTTCCACAATAAATTAATCATTATGCCTCGGTGTCCTATAAGTACCATGCATAGTCGCATTTGTCAACCTCGCTTATGTTTATTCAGTTTGGGTTATTTTGGGAGAAAAACGAAAATAAAGGCGTCCGGATATTATTTCCGTCTTCGGACGGACTTTTAAGTCATACCCAGACTTCCGACAGTTTTAAATAACACATGATTTTCATAAGTACTTGGGGAAAGAACAATTATTTTGGCGTTTTTCTGTATACTATGATCATACATATACTATAAATAAAGTGTATTTGCTATTTACTATCAACAAAAAACAAAAAATAGCGGACTTTGGAAAAAAGGGGAGGGTTATTTTATATGACTTTTGCCACCTTTCCTGAAATTCTCCAGTCATAAAATCATTTACAAAAATACATCCTACTACAGTTTTCATACTTTCAACCACGCTCTAAATGCCCGTGATTTCGCGGGTGTGTTCTAGTATAGCTTAATAATAATAAGTCAATTTTAGAAAAATTAGTCTCATGACCTTAGTTTTGTATGTCTTATACTGTCATGACGGCTTGTTCTGTTGTTATGTCCTTTAAATGATTCACTCGATTTAAAATATTTACGTTTATTTTTTGGCAATTTGAAAATAAATGATTTTCATATTCATATATATTGTAAAACTTGCAGAGTCTCTACTTTTTATGGATCTCATATTCTCTGCCTTTTCCTAATAAAAAGGTGTGTTTTCTTTTTCTCTAATTAATTTTCTTCAATAAAATTGTTGTGATTAATAGATGTTGATCTCCATTTAACTTTGTTTAACAAATGTTTCAAGATTATCTTCAGAACTTTTTTTAATACAATTCTCGCAATCTATTCTTTTCAAAATTGACATTTCAAAATATTCATAACAGCACAATTTGATAAAAGTTTTGTATTTTATAACTTGCATATGCATGTATCATCAGAAAAGCATGTATACAAGATGTATAATCCTGAAGTATATAGGTATTTATATATAGTTACGTCTAAACAACTAAAAACTCAGCTTTCGGTGGCCTAGTGTTACTTTTCCTCGTATCAAATAATTATTTCTGTGACTGCATCTTACGATCCTTACGAGCGCTGGACACAGTGCAGGCGGTGTTGTCTCGATATCCCAATAGCATGAGTTTGAATCCCGGCGAGGGAAGAACAAAAATTTGCTTCCGCAAATTTGCAGATTTAACGTTGTTGTGCTGATATTTAGAGTAATTATGGGTATTTATATATATATAACATTATATTCTACAATTCAAATTGGTTTGTTTACAGTTAAGGATAGTTGTAATTCATATTATAAATTGGACAAGACATGAAATTATTGATCAAGGGGGTAGAAAAGATATACTTAATTTATAATAAGAACACTGTTGAATAACAAATGAGGAGATTAATACGCAAGCACTGTCACTTCATCTTCGACTTAAGAGTTTTGATTGTCCCTTTTGTATCATTTGTTTATGTATATAGGAAAAATAATCTTTCCCAAATTTAAGAGTTGATAATTGCAACCTTTCCCTATAATAGGCCAGATGTTAAAAGAGGGAATACTTCAAAAGTATTCATACGAAGATACTATAACAATAATGGACTTACAATTCATCTGACGAATATTCTGGGTTCTCCATCACATAACCATCCTTCAGTAAGTTGATAAATTTTTCATTGATTTCAATGCTAGGGTAGGGTGTACCGCCTATCAAATAATTATCTTAAATAGTTATGTGCTACAAATGGTGCAGTTATCTCGTTTAAAAACTTAAACATGTTGCATAAAGTTGGCTCATGACTGTGCTTATTTGTATTATTAAGATATTTGTATAACAAACCCATATATACATTTGTATTGTTGTAGGGTGATTGATAATCGTGCAAGTATTCAGCCCTTAATTGAATTAATAAGTGTTATATTCATTAACTAGCACTGGGTCGAAACAGTAAGTCCCGAGGGTATCATCAACTCAGTAAATTTTCTTAAATTCTCCGTTGATAAATTAATAAATTATTAAGAAACAAAGGCAAAAGTTGACCTTAAATGAATTTGGCTATTTTTAGGTCCCTTTTTGGTCATGTAGCTTTTCATGTATTCTAGTCTCCATGTTGTTGGGAGGGTTTGGCGCCCGCAAACATGTTAACCCAACTACATTCTGTAAGTGCATGTCCCAGGCCAGGATCCTGTAATTCAGTGGTTGTCATCTGTTGCTGTATATTATATCAGTTTTTTCGTTTTTTGTTTTATATATAATTGAGGCGGTAAATTTTCTCGTTTGAATAGTTTTACATTTGACATTTCGAGGCCTTTTATAGCTTGTTATGCGGTATGAATGTTGATCGTTGTTGAAGGCCAGACGATGACCTCTAGTTGCTAACTTCTACGTCATTTGGTTTCTGGTGGAGATTTATATGAATGGCAATCATGCCTCATCTTCCTTTTTTTTTTACATCCGGGGCTTTCAAATGTTTGGGTTTGAGTGTTCCTGGTGAAGGTAAATCAAGAAAAACATTTTAGACGTACAAATTAATACGTGTTATCTACATTTACATATTGGGAAGAATTTAAAAACAGGTGTAGTTCAGCACGGTTGCAAAGGCTTTATCTCACCTTTAATCTGTAAGACGTCACGTCATCGATTGCAATCACTGTTGCAAAGGCTTTATCAAACCCCTAAACTGTATGACGTCATGTCAAACCTATTATCTGTATGACGTCATTTCAAACCTCCTTATCTGTATGATATCATGTCACATAAAAAACCATCTACTTGAGATATATAATAAAGTGTATATGATATGACTTTTTCAATATCACACACCGTATCAACCCTCAACCAATATAATCCCTCGAGCAGAGCTCTTGTGATTATATTGGTGTCTCGGGTTGATACGGATGTGATATTGAAAAAGCCATATGATACTCTCTATTTATCAGCAACTTAAGCTTTTAAATCAATATCAGGATGATAAGCAGCAATAAAAGTGATGAATAATGCATTTTATATTTTTTTTGTAATAAGCTGAATTGGTTCCTAAAGTGTATATTTCGTTTCTTTACTTTACTGTTTAAATATGAATGTGATTAAAGATGCTGTGATACAAAAAATATGGTGGTGTTGCCCATATGTCAATTTTATGAAAATGCAGTATCAAACATGAATATTAACAAAATGATAATATAATTTTAAGTTATCCTTATGTGATAAAAATTTGATCAAGACTTACCTAAAGAAAATATTTCCCATAAGAACACACCATAGGACCATCTAAGATATAAATTCAAAGTAAGTTATATTTTAAATTAATCATGTGTGAAAATGTTCAATGCAAAAATCTAAGAAAAATTCCCCTACCCAAGAAATGCCTGCCAAATTACTTTTTTGTCGTTGTACCCAGCGCTGTTAAAAATTACTTTGAGTTATGTATCTATTCACTCGAGATTTTTAAACAATCCGGCGGGTCATTAGAAAAACCATGGATTCAGCAAATGATCTGTTTTCATCTGACTTCTCGTCACTTGCTCTGAATTATCTTCATGTTCATGTATTTCGATAAAAGGACTCTATAACATAATGAAGAATAATTGTTCGACACCCCATTGTAAAATGTAACGATTTACAAATCGTATGACGAAAAACTTCAAAGGGAACTAGCCAAGATAATTCTAAATGACGGCGGTAAAATCAATTATACCATGATTGATTGATTGATTGATTGTTAATTAGATAAGAAAAGAGGAACGAAAGATACCAGAGGGACAGTCAAACACATAGATCGAAAACAAACTGACAACGCCATGGCCAAAAATAAAAAGACAAACAGACAAATAATAGTACAGATGACACAACATAGAAAACCAAAGACTAAGCAACACGAACCCCTACAAAAACTGGGGGTGATCTCAGGTGCTCCGGAAGGGTAAGCAGATCCTGCTCCACATGTGGCACCCGTCGTGTTGCTTATGTTATTACAAATCCGGTAAATAGTCTAATTCGGTAAGTCACATTCGTGAAAAGGGAGGGTATTGTAGTTACGACATAAGGAACATATCCGATATCATCTGTGAAACGGTTATTCCATATATTCCATAACGGTCAACCAACTCGTGATGGCGTCCGTAAAATTTACGAAGGGATGACTTCAACTTCACCATTTGGAACTCTTGGTTTAATAGCTTCCTTGTGAGCAGCAATCCTCTATCAAGGAAATCATGATAGGAAACACAAGCCCGAGAATATCGTATCAACTGGGAGATATATACTCCGTATTCAGGCGCTGCTGGAATGTTGCTACATAGAAATGGAATGTTCACAATTGGGAAGCTGAAATCATCTCTTTTAATATACCTATTAACAAGTACGAAATGCAAAAAATCATAATTTTGGACTTGAAGTGCATTACTTTAAAATATTGTCAGAAATGAATAAATAAAAGAGTTGATCATGTTAATAGCAAGCATTCTGTAGTTTACGCTTTAAATTTTAGTGCCCGTTAAATATTACTTTGAGTTATGTATTTGTTATTGTGAATTTGTAAAATCAAAGAAAGTGTATATCCCCTAAACATTTGACAAAATTCCTTTATTATTGCATGTTTGGAAAATTACCTATTGAATGTTTAAACAATATACATGTATCAAAATTGATTTCTTTTTCTATCGAGAAACATGGTTGAACAGGTATTATCGGTTTAAAATATTCTAAATCTATTTTGAATAGAGGATTATCTTTAGAACTTTTTTAAATACAATTCAGGCAATCTGTTCTTTTCACAATTGACATTTCAAAATATTTATAACAGCACAATTTCATACTTTTTTTGTATTTTATAACTTGCACATGTATGTATCATCAGAAAGGCATGTATACAAGATGTATAATCCTGAAGTATATAGGTATTTATATATAATATATAACCTTAGAATTTTTACAATGAAAATTGGTTCGTTTACAGTTAAGGATTATTCTAATTTACCTAAACCAGTTTCACATATGAAAATATATTCACAAATTTACAACAAAGAGACGTACGTTGTGTATATTTCCCAACGTCTTTGCTATGCCCCTGTAATATAAAAGTTAAACTCATCCCGTTTCTAATAAATTTCTGTTTCAAGTAGTCCATGTGTCAAATCGATGAAAGATATGAAGTAGACCTTCTTATTTCGGTAGTATTCCTCATCACAGATTCACTGGGATATATGAGATGCTAGCACTCATTGAAACGTGGGTAATTGAGTAACAGGACATCATCAATATATCTGACAGTGATAGAACTTTAAGAAAGCTCTGTATGATCTTTTCTTCTATGAGTATAAAAACAGGTCGGTCTGTATACAATATAGTACCCTTTAGAATACAGACTATCCTTGGAAATATTAATCAACCAAACTCAACAAATATGTTGTCGAGCTAAAAAGTCTTCCATTTATATAATATCATCTTGAGTTATTTGTTTTATGAGTCGCCGTAGTCGATCTTTCAATTCATCATGGGAAATAGTAGTGTAGAACGTAGAAAAATCATGAGTTTTGATATAACAGAAAAATTGTAAGGATTGTTATTGAAGATTTTGAAGTAGATCTTAAGAAATTTTAAGAATCTTATTGACACTACTAGTAAAATATACCTCATCACAATATTTCCGACGGCCATCTTTTACTTTAGAAAGAATGGAAGTAGGAACTTTTGAAAGGTATTTTAATAAGTAGTAAAATAACAAAAATATCGAACTCCAAGGAAAATTCAAAACGGAAAGTCTCTTATCAAATGGCAAAATCAAAAGCTCAAACACATCAAACGAAAGGAAAACAACTGTCATATTACTAGGGTAACAGAAATTTATTCATTAATTCAGTGATACTAAAAATTTTAGGGATTAAGCAAAATTAGCCTTTAAATAACTAAGACATCACTTTAAGTGATGTGGTTTTGATTTGTTAAAGACAACCAATCCGTCACTTTAGTAGTAGATTTGATCAGTTTAAGATAACTTACACGTTACTTTTAGTGGTGTAGATTGTATGTGTTAAAGGTAAATAACACGTCACTTTTAGTGTTGTAGTTTTGATGTGTTAAAGATGACTTACACGTCACTTTTAGGGGTGTAGATTTGAAGTGTTAATGACAACTCACACGTCACTTTTAGTGGTGTAGATTTTATGTGTTAAATATAAATAACACGTTACTTTTAGTGGTGTAGATTTGTTGTGTTAAAGGTAACTTACACGTCACTTTCAGTGTTGCAGATTTGATGTGTTACAGGTAACTTACAAGTCACTTTTAGTCGTGTAGATTTGATGTGTTAAGATAACTTACACGTCACTTTTAGTGGTGTAGATTTGATGTGTTAGAGATAACTTACACGTCACTTTTAGTGGTGTAGATTTGATGTGTTAAAGACTCAATTGCCATCCATTTCACTGGAACTGGTCCCTAAAATAGAATATACAATCAAAGTTTTCTCATACCATTAGCAATTATGTGCAACATAATTCTAAAAAAAATATTTCTAAATGAGCTATATAATAGCATTTATGATATTTAATACAAACTGATGATTAGCTCATTCCACGTAAAACGGTACCAATCATAATGCACAATATAGGTATTTCGACTAATGATATCTTAAACTGTACCATAAAACAAATTTTGCTTGATTTTTTTCATAATGATAAGATCTTACAGTAACATTTAAATGTAACAGCAGAAGCTCATCAAAGCACTAATTCTTAAGAAGCGGGTCTTCTAAAGTTACTGCTGACAGTAATCTAACAGCAATAAATAAACAAAACATATTTTCAGTTTTCAAGAAACAATAAAAAAAATATCAAACATGAATGACTCTTAACAAACCTTGAAGTCTATTTCAATCACAAATTAGACTCTAAAAGGGTAAACAGCATTTGCTTCTTCTAAATAAGTGTACCATGAACGTTTTGCTAAATTCAAAAAGTATACAATGTTGTGTTCATGCATTTCGCTAAAGTGGAAACTTAATCTTTATGCAGGAGCTAAAACAAAAATTGTCAAGTCCGATTCTTAATAAGAAATTAAAATTAGAAATTGAAAAATATGTATCGAGTGAATATTTTTCTGGTTCCTCAATAATCGTCCTAAGCCTCTGAAACTTACATCCCCCTTTTTATGATACTCGGGATTCTTATAACAGGCTTTAGCAAGTCCAAAATCACAGATCTTCACAACATTATCATGTGCTAACAGAATATTCCTAGCTGCTAAATCTCTGTGAATGTACTGAAATAAAAGAAACAACTAATATTAAATTGCCTAAAGGTAAATGTGGTTTCATGTACTGAAAATTCCAGTGTTTAGTATGCTATTATATAATGCTGTTAGATAAATTTAAAAAATAGTGTGTTAAACAAGAAAGAAATTTAGTCCTAACAAAAATTTGATTTTTTACAGTTTTGTCATGGTAAGAAATGAACAACTTATGCTAAACGTATCATATCAAAAACCAATTTTCATTTTCAAATTTATTATTTCAAGAACAATAACAAAATCAAAAAAAATTATTAAGTATGATTTACATATAAATGCAACTACCTTTTTATAAGCCAAGTATTCCATTCCTCTTGCAACTTGGAAAGCCCAACACATTAGATTGTTCGTGGTCAAAAGAGGACCATTTGTATCCTCTAAAGGTCCTTTATTTAGATTATCTGGTATTTTATCGTCTTTAGGGTCCTTAAACGTTTCCTTCTTTTTAATCAGGTAGTTACGAAGATTTCCAAAATGACAGTATTCAATAATCACCATTAATTCACCTAAAAAAGGCCAAAAACACATTAAAATATCTAGAGTTGTCCAGATAGCAAGACTAATAACTTACGTATACATGGTATATGCATATTAGTTGTTGTTCGGCAGCAGATTGAAATTCAGTATCAAGACAATGTCAGTTTAAGATTTTTGGCTTCCATTTTTTTTAATAATTGGCATATGGTTACCGGTAAGTCAATGTGACATAGTTATATCGATTCAACAACAAAATCTAAAGTTTGTATACTGTAAATCAGGAAATTTAATTATGATACTACCTACAATTTCTTCCACATCTAGTTTGATATTTAACTAATATCCCACTGATAATTTTTACTGATATCAATGTCAAACGTCAGACCTACATCAGCTTCCCATAATGCATCCTCATACCAAGTTTGGTAAAGTTAAGTTCTACGGTACCGGAGTAATTTCCCGGCCACCAAGCAAACAAGGTTTTGCTATTACAGAGGTCAAAGGTCAAAGGACAAAGTTAAGGTCACAGTGACATGACTTTAGAATATGACACACCGACTTCCAATAATGCATCCAGATACCAAGTTCGGTCACTCTTAGTTCTACAGCACAATAGTTATGACACGAATCAGACAACGTATTACTATCAGAGGTGTCAAAGTTAAGGTCAAAGTGAGCTGGTTTTGGTATATAAAAAATAGGCCTTCCAATGAGTTAACCACCTACCAAGTTTGATTGATCTTATTTCTACAGTAAAACAGTGCCCGGACACGAATTACACTAGGATTAACTATCTTAGTTGTCAAGTCAAAGGTCAAAGTCAACTGCCAATGGTGCATATACATAACAAGTTCTACGGTACAAAAGTTATGTCCCGGATACGTAGCGGGACGGACGAACAGACGGACAGACAAACACACAGACAGACACACAGACGGACGAACGGATAAGGTAGTTGCTACATACCACTCCAAACTTTGTTTGCGGGGTGTATGACAATATTGTTAGCTTGGTCTGTGAACAACTGACGGATGAATTGTGATAAAATCAAATTGAAGAAATAAAAATAATAAAACTGAAATGATATTCGTATATGTCGATAAATGTTATGTTAAAACATGTTAGGTTTATATCCTAAATGAAATTTATGTACATTAATTTCATTATAAAATATATATAAATAAAATTGAGAATGGAAATGGGGAATGCGTCAAAGAGACAACAACCCGACCAAAGAGCAGAAAACAGACCAAGGCCACCGATTGGTATTCAACACAGCGAGAAATCCCGTACCCGGAGGCGAGCTTAACCTGGCTCCTAAACAATAATGTATAGTAGTTCAGCGAAAATGGACGTCACATTAAACTCCGAAACATATAAATGAACCAAAGTTAAAAAAAACAACATACAAGACTAACAAAGGCCAGAGGTTCCTGACTTGGGACATATATTTCTGCAATAAAGTATCTTATCTTATCTTATATTACTTCTTCAAAGGAAAATAATATGACTATGTTTAATGCTTTAGTAAAATCTAAGTTTCACTATTGGATAATCGTCTTTAAAAGTCTAAGTCTGTAAAGAGTGGTACATGCTACGAAATACACTTACCATATTTGATTTCCTTGGTCACAGCACCCAGTAAATTTACAATGTTAAGATGCTGACCGAGATGTATCATTATCTTCAGCTCTGACATTAAAGCCATCATTTGTTCTTTATCTGTACAATCTGGCAACATGAATAAAATAAACAAATTATAATAATAATAAATGTACTGAAAAGCACTTGTTTCTTGAATACTGTATTCCTTTCATGATTAGCAATTATTCTATTTTTTTACAAAGACTTGTAACTGCATACTTTGATACACAGGAAAGACTGCTCTGATATTCTGAATTGTAATGTTTTAAATAATTTGCCTTGTTTTGGCCCCTTTGATTTTTGAATCATACAAGGAGAAAGCGGACTTTGAAATAAAAAAAAAAATCGTGAAAGATATTGGTTTTGTTAATAAAATCAGGCAGAATATTTCACAGACTATTTCTGAAAACGAATTTGACCCAAATGTCGATCTTGAAAATTTTAAGTCTTTAGATTATTGTGTTACAATAGATGACTACGAAAAAATAAAAAAAACTCCTTTGCAAATAACTACAAATACAAAACTTCAAACTTTTCAACTCAGGTTGGTTATTATTAATTATAGTTTCAGCTTCCTTTCTGTATAGATGTATTTTAAACGAAACAAAAGTTTTTGCATTGAACCCATATAAATATTATTACATATATTGTTTCCTTTCCGTGCGCCACTAATGAGGCTTATATAGACGAAATATGCGTCATGCGTTCTAAATTATAAGTCAGGTATATCTTTAGTGAGTTTTTACGACAAGTGGCTTCGTTCCGCCCAGGAGTCAGCACGGAATATCATTGATACGGTCATTTTTTGTAGTTTCATTAATATTAATACGTCCAGAGGTAAATCCTCCCATGAAAGATTGTTTTGAGTAACTTAAGAGAGGTGAAAGATACCAAAGGGATATTCAAACTCATAAATCGAAAAAAAACTGACAATGTCATGGCAAATTTTGAATAAAAATGGAAAATACTGTGAATTATGTATCCAATACAAACAAAAAGAATATATGAATTTAAATTGTTTGCCATTGGAAACTGTCTTGAGTGAATTAACACTATATATCTGGTAAGAAAATTATATCTTTACATCTTTTTTCCTTAAAGATGGTGTAATAGAATATGTTTAGGGTGTATAAACGATATCTCAAACTATATACTTGCAATGTTAAAAACAAATATGACTTGTATCAGCCTTTTTGTAAAAGAATAAATAATTTACAGAAAAAAGCCTTCTTAATAAGGTCTTCAGAAAACATGTAAAATGTATTCATTTTATGTAGAATTCTTTGAAGATTTACCCATAATGCTTTATTAACCTACCATCACTTTCTATTAGGATTTACCAACAATGCTTCATTAACCTACCACCGAATTTTAATGAGGATTAACCAACAATACTTCATCAACCTACCATCGCATTCTATTAGGATTTACCCATAATGCTTCATTTACCTAACACCGAATTTTAATGAGGATTAACCCACAATACTTCATCAACCTACCACCGCATTCTATTAGGATTTACCCACAATGCTTCATTAACCTTACACCGAATTTTATGAGGATTTACCCACAATGCTTACTTTAAAACTGAGGTTTATATCCGGGTCAGAAGCTATATTTAATTTTAACTGAATAATCTATTTTAAAGTTTAATTTCTTATCTGAGAACTCAACTGTCAGATGACAAAATATAAATATATATATCAATAAAAATAAAACGTTGTAACAATGCCGATATTAATGTTTTGAGTTACATAAATAAATTTCACAAAAAGTAACGATAATGTCCACTATCCCACCGGTTTCAGCTTCGACCATCAGGGATATATATATATAGTCTATCCTAAATTGAGGTAAATTATATGGCCTTCCAAATACCGTTTCGATCACTAACATCACTGAAGAGACATTAATTGTCGAAATCCGGATATGATGTACTAATTTTTTGCACCTTTTGTTTGCGGTATACCATCTTTTCCGCAAGTTTATTGTTTTCTGTTTGATATTAAATTAATAATTTTAAAAGATCCATTTTGTAACATCTTGTGATCCGTTTATCTAGCAATCGCCAATGGCAGTCAGCAGGGTTTAAGAACATTTGTTGTTCGACCTGTTAGTCAAATGCGTTTTGTTAAAATATACTTTTTCACTTTTTTGGTCTTTTGGAAATTGTTGTTTGTGCTGTATTTAGACCCCTCTATTAAGAAATTTGTTTTGCATGCACACGTATAAAAATTGCTGTTTTTATCCAACGCAATCATAGGTTTGAACGTTGTTTTCAATTTAGACTTGTTTATATATATATAGATATATATATAGTTTCTAAGAATAACAACGATCAACATTCAATATATCTAGGCGTCGATCAGTTTGAAAATAAACTGATGCAGTTACTAAATTAATTTATATAAATGCCTATATATATATATTGAGGTAAATACATATCAGTTAAGCAAGGTACACATGGAATATGTAATGTTGTAATGTACTATTGTAATAATTATTTATGCATTTCTCTGTGCTGAGAGTTCTTGCGTTTGTTTGTACTGTATTCCTGTCACGTATTGTTCTCATTTTAGCGATATTTTTTAACATTGCCGTATAATCGGGAGGATTGGCTACCCATAAAACTAGGTTCAACCCACCATTTTTTCTTAAAATGTCCTGTACCAAGTCAGGAATATGGCAGTTGTTATCAAATACTCGTTTCTATGTATGTTGGCGTTTGTTTTTGTTGCAGTTCAGTGTTTCTGTTGTTCCGTTGTTTTCCTTTTATAGTTGATGTGTTTCCCTCGGTTTTAGTTTGTAACCCGGATTTGTTTTCTCTTAATCGATTTATGACTTTTAAACAGCGGTATACTACTGTTGCCTTTATTAATCCTACTGAGATAATCATTGGGCATGAAAAATGTAAATAAACACCCTGCTAAATTAAATGTTACATTTTTAGTGCCTACCTTTGGCCGTTTTTACGGCAACTGTTGAACCAATTTCATTTTCCAGTATACCGATAGCTTCGGCTTTAATGACACGACCAAAATTTCCCTGACCTAATACCATACCTAAAATTATTATTAAATATGTCAGCTATTCTGAATAATGAATCACTACTTCAAATAACAAATACATTTCAGTAGTGTTATGGTACTCTTTTCTTTTTTTATAAACAAGTGTTACTCTTATCATTTCCAGGTTTTTTTTATGTTTTGTGGGATTCGTGTTGCTCATTCGTGTTACTCATTCTTTAGTAGTGTTTTGTCAACTTAATAAGTCTTTTCGTCTTTTTCCGATGGCGTGTTCAGTTTCTTTTTGACTTCCGAATGTCCCCTTGGTATCTCCCGCCTCTTTCTTGCAATGATATTTGAATTCTTCGTTGTTTTTTTTTTAGTAGTCATATTTGTATTGGATTGTGAGTATCCTGCGATATGATGTGGGAATGCAATGTTCTTCACATCTACTAAAACCATTATAAAACTTATTGGATAGATCATATGGCGGATTATGGTTCTATAGGGATACACTTTTCACCGATATACTTTTAACATACTATTACTTGAACTTCTAACAAACACCATGATATTAATATGAACCATTGGCATACGTTTTACAGATATCCTGATTCTTTGACCATCATTTATGTAATTTTAACAAATATGCTTATGTTTAAAGCAAATATCATTTAATGTATATGTTAAATAATACCCTGATACTTAAAATCTGATCCCGATATATACCGAAAGCACCATATACTTCTAACAAGTATTTAAATACCCGTAAAATCAGTCGGAAATAATAACTAGTATCAGTTTAATTATCAAAAGCAAAGATATACTTTAATTAGTATCAGTATACATATCAGAAGCTTCGGTATACTTTTAACAAGGATCAGTATACTCATAGAAAGCTTCCGTTTACTCTAACCAAGTATCAATATACATATAAAAAGCATCGAAATATTTTTAACAAGTATCAGATTAAATCATATAAGGCATCTGTATTCTATCAAGTATTTGGATACATAAAAACACCATCGGCATACTTTTGACAAGTATTTGGATACACGTAAACAGTATCGGTAATCTGTAACAGGTTTCAGTATATGAAAATAATGGAAGTAAATCTCGCGAGAATGAACAAGACGCGGAGAAGGTCTGAAACAGGACAATTATATTCGATACGTTTTATATCTGTAACTTTTATTTAACTAAACATATTGTCAAAATTCAAACTCTATAGTACAAAACATTCTGCAAAACTAATTACATGCCAGAAACGCATTTGGAAGAAGACATTCAATTTTATATAACCAATTTTGAACTAATGTCTTAAAAAGTTCTGACGTAAAAGGCTACTGTCCTGGCAGCTTTTTTACTTTTAAAACAAGTACAAATTATAAAATTAAGTTTTTTTAGGAAAGTAAAGGACGTTATCTCTACATTCGTGCAAATATGTCATACCATACAATCATTTTGTAGAAATTATTTCATTCATAAATAAAATTTCTTTGGAAATATTGGCTATTTATATTAAAATGATCAACGTAATTGACAGATATTTTATTGCGATAACGATTTATAAATTCATTAAATTTCATATTTTCATAAACAGTATACATGATATACTTCAAACTTTACAGTGAAATAATAATTTCATGCGAGACACGCATTTTGAAAAAAAGATATTTAACTTTATATTTCGGTTCTGAAAGAATTTTTTGAAAGTTTTAACGCAATAAGCTACTGTCCTGGCATATTATTATACTCTTCTAACACGAAGAAAATATCAAATTATGAATTTTTAGAACTATCATGCCTTAGACTTTAACAATCGTATAAAAAATATTATGTCAGACAGTTGTTTTGTAGAAATCATTTCAATTACAAATAAACTTTCCTATGAAATGTCCACCTTTTGTTTTTAACTGTCCTGTCAAAATTTTCTTACTTTTTCAAATATGTTAGTAATATTCTGTTTTTTACTATACAGTTTGAGTTTTGACAATATGTTGAGGTAAACGAAAGTTACAGATAAAAACCTATCGAAATAATTGTCCTGGTTTTATCTGTCTTGTTTCGGAGCTTCCACGCGTCTTGTTGATTCTTGCGAGATGTTTCACTTCCCCGATTTTCGTATACTGAAACTTGTTACAGTATACCGATACTTTTCAAATGTATCCATATACTTCTGAACCCATGATTTTTATATATATACAGATACTAGTAAAAAGTATACTGATGCTTTTGATAAGTCAACTGATACTTCATAAAAATTAACCAATGATTTTTATAAGTATACTGCTACTTGCTAAAAGTATACCGATACTTATTATAAATATTCTGATACTTTTTAAAAGTATATTGATGCTTTTTATAAGTATAATGAAAAGTATACTTATGCTTAGAATAAGTATAATGATACTTATTTACAGTAGACCAATGCTTTATATAAGTATACTGATAATTGTTAAAAGTCAACAGATGCTTACTATAAATATATTGATTCTTGTTTTTAGTTTACCGATGCTTTTTATAAGTATATTTAAACTTTTTAAAAGTATACCGATACTTATTATAAGTAAACTGGTCTATCTAAAAAAAATAACGATGATTTTTATAAGTATACTGATCCTTGTTAAAAGTATACCTATGCTTTTGATAGGTAAATTGATACTTGTTATAACTACCGATTCATTTTACGTGTATCTAAACACTTGTTAGAAGTATACTGAAGCTTTTGATAGGTATATTGATACTTGTTATAACTACCGAATCTTTTTTACGTGTATCTAAACACTTGTTAGAAGTATACTGATGCTTCCGGTATATATCGGGATACATATTGAAAGTATCAGTATATAATTAAACATATAATGATACTTGTTTTAAACGAAAGCATATTTGTTAAAAGTATACGAATGCTTGACATAGTATCAGGATACTTGTGAAAGTATACCAATAGTTGAAATCTATATCCTGATGTTTGATAGAAGTATCCTGATACTTTTAAAGGTATATGTTTACTTGTTGAAAGTATATCGATGTAAATTATACCCCTATCGAACTATCATTATTCTGGCATAATCCGCCACTCATAGATAGGTCAGTGGATGAGGCTTTGTAAGGTTTAATTTCTAACCCTACCCTTGCATTCCATTTGCATTCTAAAGTATCCACACTGCTTACTCGATGCTTCAACATTTCATATCCTACGAATGGATACATACATTTTTTGTTTTTTTTTCAACTCTTTAACGACATGTTACGCAGTCTTACATCTTTAGATACGAAATAGTCTGTAATTTTACCGATGGTGTTCTTTTCACTATTGTGACATTTTGACTGCGTAACTATTCACATGGCAAGTGATACCGATAGAGGAGACGCTTACCCTGTCGACGCACTCGATCGCGCTCTTTTTGGAGTTCAGGCGATTCCCATGGTTTTTGATTGTTGCTTTGATTTGTCTTCTTGGTCGATTTAAGAGATCTGAACATCGGTAAACTACTGTTGCCTTAATCTGTCCCGAGTATGCATGAGATATTGCTCGTTTGACAATAGGTATGTAATCGGCCTTAGTTAGTTGTCAATATGTAGACAAATTACAAATTTTAACTTAGTAAATGTTTTACCTATACTTAGGACAAAGTGATGTATTATTGGAAAGAAGCCTATATCAGCTGATGTCTCAACCAGAATAAAAACTATCTAAGCCCCTTTTTAAGGAATTTCTTTCATGGATTTTTGTTGTTGAAAAAAAATTGACGTGTCACAAATTGGTATATAAGATTCTGTCTGCTTACCCTGTCTGAGCTTCTTTTTTGGAAACTCCCATTTTGCATCATAGGGTAAACAGGATGTTTGTTCATCAATAGGTATATCAGGAATATAGTCTCCACTGGGATGCATCAATGTCCTCTCCAATTCTTTATGCTTAAAAAAAGCATAGTTGAATGAAAAGGAATTATTATACTTATGAAAGAAGAGAAAGAAAAATCACACTGTTGGAGAGATCTCTTCCGAAACTGACCGATATTTATTGACATTGAATTTTAATATCTTAAAGCATCGTACATGTTTTATTGCTATTGGTGACTTACCAGTGCTACAGCCTTACGCTTGTAAAGTACACACATTACCAACACTACAAGTATAATGACTGCTACTGCTACTGCAACCACCACAGATACAATTATTTTGATGTCATGTGTCTTTAACGGCATTGTATGCTGTTCGCCTAAAATGAATCATATTTCTATAGCAATAACTTTCCCATTTGCCTCATGCTATATTCACATTTTAAATTAATTGGTTCACTGGTCTTACATTACAAAACATATGACAATTCTTTGCAAAATTTCCTCAGGCAAAGTTGACCTTAGATGGATTTGAAATTGTTGACTTTGGGCGTTCCTGATGAAGGTAAAACATGAAGTGCGCTTCGGACGCATATCATTTATAAGTGTTATTTTCGTTTGCTCTATTATAACCATCTCTTAAAAAATGTTAACATTTTGTAATGATTTAATCAATTGAAACAAAAAATGCTTGTTTGTAATATCGTTCAATTTACACATTATTTGTGTGTACCTGTTAAGAGCAGTTGATATAAATTTCAATTGTATGAAGTATTCTACTTTTAGTTGGTAACATTTTATTCGGCACTGCTATGGTTTTTGTCATTTATTCTTTGGATTGGATTTGTCGAACGTTTAGTTTTGTCAGGTTTTATGGACTTCCCCCTATTTGAATATACCTTGGAGTTTGGTATTTTTGTTAATACATTTTTTGGCTATTTTTTAAGGTCTATTTATTCATATAGTTCCTCAAGTGTTCACGTACTTATACATCCTTCGCTTTAAATTTTAGTTTTGAGCATTCCAGATACAGGTAGCTATATTACATCATGTTCACAGTAAGCAAGTGAGGACAGATCTTTTAAGGCTAAATAGATCAAACTAGATCTATTCACTTGTGCTAATAAAACAGTTACAGTTTCAGTGATCCCATGATACAGCACAATCTGGTTCTTGTAGGACTTTAATAGTATACTAGCAATGATCTTAAAAAAACAATTATGATTTTCATATCAAGGTCCTGACCAACCTTTGACTAAGATCATAACACATACCTTGGGTTATAGAAAAATAATTATATGGATGATTACAAATTTAACTATTTAATCCTAAAAAGATAAAACACGTAACTTAAGTGCCGTTACTGGATGTGACCTTGACATTATATAAAAGTCATCAATCATGCTTGTGACTCATACAAAGATAGTCAGAAGTGGGACATGGATCAATGAAAGCACATAAAAGTTACAGCCCAGTGACCAAGAAACAGTTGATAGAGAACCTATTCACAGGCGAGGTAAGTATACATCCGCCAAACACAATTTCAACTTTTTAAACACTTCATCACTTTTTATTTTGTTCATCATATTTAAGTAGCATACCAACAAATAATGTCCATTTCATGCAAGCCATGCCCCGGCTGTTTGTTGCTTCACATTTATAAACACCTTGGTGAATCTTGGAAGTTTTATTAATTCTCAAACTGAAATTACAAATCAGCAATCTATATCATACATTCGAACAGAATTTCAAATATGCAGATTCAAACAGCTGAACGGTACCAACCGAATTTTTTTCTATTAATATTTCATCTAAAAAACATACTATGTATGATCCAATGAATTATATATTCCCTATATTATTTGTAAAATAGATGTAGTCAATTAAACATTAAAAGGCCACATAACATTCAAAGTCAGGTTGCAATTCTTCAATCAGAACTGCCGAACTCAAATTTGCATATGTTAATTTGTTATATAATGTTTGCTTACAACAAAATATCGTATTTAGCCCTCTGAAATTTCTTGCTTGGTAAAACATGTTTACATATGGAAAAGATTTAGACAGGCAAACAAATGTTCTTAACAGAAATTTGTGATATATCTCTGATTATGTTGGTAACAAGGAAATTATGAATAAAATTGAGAATGGAAATGGGGAATATGTCAAAGAGACAACAACACGACCAAAGAGCAGACAACAGCCGAAGGCCACCAATGGGTCTTCAATGCAGCGAGAAAATCCCGCACCCGGAGGTGGTCCTCAGCTGGCCCCTAAATAAAAGTGTGCACTAGTTTAGTGAAAATGGACGTCACACTAAACTCCAAAACATATAAATGAACTAATATTAAAAAACATACAAGACTAACAAAGGCCAGAGGCTCCTGACTTGGGACAGGCGCAAAATGCGGCGGGGTTAAACATGGTTTGTGAGATCTCAACCCTCCCCCTATACCTCTAGCAAATGTAGAAAAAAGAAACACATAGCAATACGCACAGTAAAACTCAGTTTAAAAGAAGTCCGAGTCCGATGTCAAAATAGGTAAAAAAAAAAAATAAGCAAAATGACAATGATACATACATAAACAAAGGACTACTAGCAGTTACTGACATGCCAGCTCCAAACCTCAATTAAACTGATTCAAAGATAATGTCTTCATCATATGAAAATCGAGTACAATCCCTCCCGTTAGGGGTTCAGGATCATACCATCATAACATATATGAGAAGAACATAACCCGTATCATGCCAACAACTGGTTTTAGAATAAATGTGTTTATTTCCGATGCAAAGACCCTATGAGTGAATCAATATTAATACCAAAATATGCAATCCTTAATGACTTGACAACAGTATCGTAACTATATCCTTTCCGAATAAGTCTGTTTAAAGGTTTGGTTATCTTTTGAGGTGAATGCCGACATTTTTCGCTTTGTAAAGAATATTACCATAAAAGATTGGATGTGAAATACCTAAACGTATAAGATGTATGAATGAATATTAAAAGTCAAATGATTAACAAAACTTTCCTTTTGAGTCGATTATATTGTTATTCTTTAATGCGAAATGACAATAATACAAACCTCCTATGATCATTTGTGAAGTATATTCCGAAAGTATTTGTATATTCTATTAATGTATTGTCTTTAAACCATCGAAAGCTTGGTTCTGGTGTTCCTACCATTTCACAATCAGCCACTTTGTAAGATATGCCCTCTTTGATATTAATTCTTGTTTCTTGGTCATGCTGTCCTTCTACCAAATGAGGTTTTACTAACCCTAATACAGATTGATATAGAAGTCGTTATGTAAGTACAGTACAAGTGGCATAATATATCAAATAAGAACAAAACTGCATCGATCCAACATGACTGTACTTTGAACATTTGTGTAAAAATCATATTTGTATGAAGGTATACAAATATTCTATACTGAATGCTCTTTTTAAACATGTTACAAACAACGCTACATAGAAAACTAAAGACTATACAACATATTTCCCACCAAAACCTAGAGCTGATCTCAGGTGCCAAGGAAAGGTTAGCATCGTGTTTCACTAATGGCTACCACCAGGTTGCTAATGTTCAGTGCAAATAGGTCTTATTCGGTGATGTCACAAACGAGGAAAAGAGGATAAAATGTAGTTATGACAATTGGAATATGTCCGTGGTCATCTGTCACACAGATATTCAATAATGCTCAACCAACTCGTGATGGCAATCGTAAAAACTTCGAACGGATTACTTCAACTTTACCACTTGGAACCCTTGGTTCAATAGTTTTGTAAGCAACAACCTTCTATTACGGAAATCATGATAAGAATCGTACGCTCTCTTGACGCCCTGCCCTTTTATGAAAAAGAAATAGTACCATGCCCCTTTTCCGTCGTTATTTATAACGCCCTGTTCTGTTTTGTTGTAGAAAATCCCTACTTCTAAGGAGCACTTCCCTCTGGATGATATATACTCCATTATTGTTTATATGCAGGTGCTGCTGAAATGTAACTACACAGGAATGGAAAGTTTCTAATTGGAAAGTTGAAATCATCCCTTTTGGCATAAAGTTTTATCATCAACCGACTATTATTGTCAATTTACAGATTTAAGTCAAAATATTAGAGAGACTTAACTGTATCTGTTGTATTTTTTTTATTCAAGTTCGATGGGATAGATGCATTCAATATAGTCATCAAACTTTGAAAAATAAAGTGAGAGGACATCATCTATATATCTTTCAGTTAAAAATTGTTCTCCTCCTTAACTACCGTAATCCTATTTTAGAACTGACATTGTTAATATAGACCTATAATATGTATTACATCTTGCGAAAACATTGGACATCTTGTGTACAAAATGTACATTTCGATTGGGCGGTGTAGCTTGCCTCCATAGACAGTTGTTACTAGTGAACACCTGAACTACAACAGTGCCAAGCTTAAAGGAAATCAGTTCTTATAGCACTGAAGGTAGTAATTTCTTGCAGCAGATGCGCATTTCGAAAATTAATTCCAAGTATTGCAGCCTACAATAGAGCCTTCAGCATAAAATCCATACTATTTTATTTTCGTGATTTGTAGTTCTACTGAAGCTTGCAGTCAGTAGTAGTTCTTAACGAAGGGTAAAATAACTATTAAAGAATCGAAAGTGATATTATTACGAGTTTGACACAAGCAGTAATCTCAGTACCAGTATCTATGACAAACGAGACGATTTTAATTTTGAAATTATAAATTCCCATCACCTTAGCCGCAATATACCAACTTCACCTGCATATGGGATATACATTTCCCAACTCATTCGGTATTCAAGAGCTTGCAGCTGCTACTCAGATTTGATAAAACGTCACCAGTGTCTGAGCAGAAAGTTGATAAACCAGGGTTATGTCAAAGAACGTCTCGTCCTTTTTCTTAAAAAATTCACCAGAAGATACCAAGACCTTATAAATAGATATTCCGTATCAACTTCACAAATAGTACATGATGGTCTTGAAGTATAGATTCTGGGTACTGACGTTGTTTATCATGTTAATTACGTGTTAAAGTGTTCTTTTAATTTGTCTTTGTATATTTTAAACGTTACTGCTTAGTCCATTTTTGATAATAAACTTTTGGCGTGGCTCGGTATTTATACATCTCGCCATAACACAGTTACTTTTTGAATTCTTGACTTTCATTTTTGCTTTGTACTTTGTCTATAGAGTGTCTATATGCCATTTTGTTTTTCTTTGTTGAATTGGTTATTTGTTTTTATATTGATTACGATTATAACACAATTTTGACAATTTTTACCTATTATGTCTGTTTGTTTTGCTCACACATTGTTGTCAATATAATGGAATTCCATGCGCCTGTCATACAAGTGAGGGGTTTAGCTAGCTATAAAACCAGGTTTAATCCATCATTTCCTACATTAGGAAATGTCTGTACCAAGTCAGGAATATGACAGTTGTTTTCCATTTGTTTGATCTTTTGATTTTGCCTGTTGATAAAGGACTTTCCGTTTTGAATTTTCCTTGGAGTTCGGTACTTTTGTGATTTTACTTTTTAATTAATTCCAGAATTTCCACACCTTTGAACAGTGAGGGCAAATTAAAAAACCAGGATATCACATTCCTCCAAAATTACACTGTTTCTCTGATTCCTGTGGCAAAAGCTGATATAACGGATCCGGCATCGTAAGGGTTAATCTTATCGCCAATCAAAACTCAATTTCTTATTTTCAAATTGTCAGGGAAAAAATTGATTGAAATAAATGACATTTGAAATATACAAATTTTGCCGGCTTGAGAACTCAATTGAAAAGGATAATTGTAAACGAAATATGCAGTGAAAATTTGTTACTTGGGAGTATTCAGCACCATTGTCTTTGGTCTAATACCAAGGCATAAGAAAATTTTGAAAATTGTGTAATAATTTCCGTGGGAAAGTGAAAGTGTACAATACCTCTAACTTTAATATTTCTTTCTGTTCTATCTGTCTCTATATGACTACTGCTATCAGGTTTAGTACCAAGACAAATATAAGAACCAGTATCCGATAGTTGTATTGAATGAATAACCAGCTTAACAGTCAGGGAAAACGGAGATCTGAAATGAAAATGAAATTCAAAAGCTCTTAGACTGAAAACCAAAGAATCTAGATGAAATCTGCATTTCAATTGTCGTTTTTTATATTAAATAAAAACATGACCTCAATAACCAAGGTCCCATATATTTGACTACAAAAACTGAAAGAAGGCACCTAAAACTTGTAGATCTTTTTTTTTGTTCAGGATAAGGCACGATAAGTCTACTTTATTCACCCCTTGCATCAAGGAATAAAGGTATGATATTGCTACCTTTTGGTCCCTTGTATTCTTGAGCTTCCTTTTTGCCCTTCAATTTAGGAATAAAGGTATGATATGCTTCTTTAGTCCCCTTATCATTAAGGAGCCAATGTACTACGAGGCTATTTTTATTCCGTGTTTTCAAGATAAAAGAAAGATAAGTGACGTCTTCCTTCTCATATTCAAGAATATCAGAATAACAGTTTTAAACTTTCTGTGTTCATGGTTTTCACTTGTAATCATGAGTAAAGGTATGATACGACTACTTTTTTGCCTCTTGAATTCACCAGTTTAGACGTTATATTGCCACTCTTTGGTATAATATTCCTTAAGTATAATCCGCAATACCTTCACTTTTTTACCACTGTATTCAGATTCTACCTGTAATATTGACCCATTCTATTCAGACGTAAAGATATGAAAGGTTAACTTCTATGGCTTCTTGTATTCAGAAATTAAGATATTCTACAACTTTTCCTTTTGTACCTTGTATGCAAGGGCGACGGTTTAAAAAGACCACTTCTCTGGCCCCTTATATGCATGAGTATGGATGTAATATGGCAGTTTCACCTTATGTATTTAGAATTAAAATTTAGATCGGTTTACGTTTTTTACTTTTAGCATGCACATTTGAAGGTATCATAGAGCTACATGTTTAATCCTTGTATTTAGGTGTAAAGGTATGACAAGTATCTTCTGCAGACTATTTGTAAACCATTGTATTATGTTCCTCTTGTTGCACATTTGGCTGAAGGTGTTTATTGCACCCATATTGTTTTCATGAAAGGGTTAATTTCTTTAGCATCTAGTTTTCAAGGGTTACGGTATTATAGGACCAATTATTTGCCCCTTTTATTCAGGAGAAAAAATAGACATGTATAATATGGCTGTGTGTGGCACAGTATATCCAGGAGTAAACTTATATATACAGGAGTAAAGGTAAGATAAGATTGAATTTTGATATTGTACTCATAAGTGAAAGAATTATTGACCCTCTATATCTACGACTTTGATTCATCATTAAGGATCTTATTCGGCTACTGTTTAGCCCCTGGTATAATAAGGGCTTGTTTTTACTATCTCAATGTGGTCAAGAGTGAAAGTATAGTAGGATAAGTTTCGACGATTGTATCCATGTAGACAAATTTATGACAGCTTAACGTTTTCGCCGTTTGAACTTTTGATTTAGGATATAATTGTGTTTTTGTTTTTGTTTTCAGAAGTAATGGTATGATAGGGCTCTTATCTACATTATTTATACAGGATAACACATGGCGGTGTGTTTGCTCCTTGTATATATATATATAAATATGATAACATGCTACCTTTTGATTCCGTATTTATCTGAAGTGATTGGAATATCTGTTTGTGGTAAGGCTGTTCATCATTCTTAATTTCATTTTTAAAACAAATGCTTAAAATAACTTATATGTGGATAAGTATGACAAAATGACATGTCAATGTTACGTATAAAAGATAACAAGCATCATAAAAAATACTGGACAGTGCAACAAACCACTACAACAACCGACTACCCAGAAATAACTGACATTTAAACAAAAACAGCCACATAGTCTGACTTGATACAGGCACAAAATATGGTGGAATGGTTTTACTTGCACCCAAATTTCCACTTTGCCTAACTGTCTATGTATATGTTTGTCGTAAAACTAAACCACACACTAAAATACCTTCCCAATACCATCAGAAGGACTTAAACAAGGAAATAACAAGAATGTTACCATAGTACACGGACTCGCACTATCAATTTATATGTTCAGTGGACCGTGAAATTGGGGTCAAAACTCTCATTTGGCATTAAAATTAGACAAATCATATCATAGGGAACATGTGTACTAAGTTTCAAGTTGATTGGACTTCAACTTCATCAAAAAACAACCTCGACCAAAAACTTTCACCTGAAGCGGGGAGGACGGACGAACGGACAGACGCACAGACCGGAAAACATAATGCCCCTCTACTATCGTAGGTGGGGCATAAATACGGCATATAATTATGAAAGCAGTGTGAAATTATGATCGCTTCTGCAGAAAGCTAACATCTTCTTATTTTTATACGGTAGCTGCAGCTGTTGGTTAGATATTACTGCTCAATGGTAATCAGAACAACACTCCTTACAGGTTTCATGAAGTCTCATAAAATTAAATTGAAATCGGGTGTTTTCTGTTAGAGGCTAGTAAGTATTTCAAATAATCAGAACATCAGAAGATAATCATTTTAACTTAATTATTGATTACATAACGCATATTCACCATGCTGTTGAAAGATGTTAGAAATATCCCGAGTCTAAATATATCATTATTTGTGCTTAAGCTCGACACTATGCTAAAATCTAGGCTGAGAAACACTATATAATTGAAATTTTTTACGAGAAATATTACATTTATGGATTAGATGCTAATAAAGATTGAAGCATTTTAACCTCAGTTTGTCAAATAATGGTTATAATTATTTATTCCTCGATAAGTTTCCCTATTTTCTTCTATATAAGTTATGTTGGTGTTGCTGTCTTTAAACTTGGTTGTTGCATCCATATATTGTTTTACATTTATTACTGTATTTAAATGTAATGAATCGATTTATATAGTATTCAATGTAAGTTTCATTTATAATTACCTTCCTCTAGTTATTGTGCTTCTGTTCCCATTTTCTATAGGTTGTAATGTTTCCGATTCCTCTTCTCTGTACGATATATTTACTCTACTATATTCCCACAAGGTGGCGTAGCAGATTAATGTTATACTGTCTTCCTCAATAGGTTTGGCGTTAGAAATATTTAAAAATAAACTTTCTTTCTTTTCTGTAAAATAAAATGATTTTTTTTTCATACCAATTTTGCACATAAACATTAGGTTTGAAATTACAATATCACTTAAAAAGAATGTCAGAATTTAAAAAAAAAATATTTAAGAGTCACAGTATTTAGTATTATTCAAAAATTCCTGTCTCAGATGAATGTGCGTCCTACATACATGCATATTTGCATATTATGATCTAACAATATACCAAGTTTCATATAGATATAATGAACCAACTTTGAGGGGCAGTAGCTGGAAAGGATCAAAATTTTCCAAGTCCAGTTGTGCAATACTCTAGAACAACTCAAAGGCATGTATATCCTACAAATATGTACATCTGCATATTAGGATCTAACTAAGAAACAACTTCCATGTAGATATGATAAACTATGGAGTATGGAGTTGCAATTATAAGGTAGGTGTTGGAATGAGCAAAATTTCCAAACCTCGAAAAGCATCTATTTGTGAAAACTCAATGGACTAGAGCATCCTAGCCATCGAGAGACGATGAAAATGTCGGTTCGAAAATAGTCACAATTTCTATGGTAAATAGGGGCATGCTTATGGATAAACTAAACAGAATTAAAAATCCTTCACATGATGGTGTTTGCATATCACGATCAATTATTCAACAAAGCTTGAAGTTGGTCCTGATAGACGAACAGATAGATAGACTGATTACTATATACCCTTTTGACTTTTTTTCGCGGGAGTAGAAAAAATCCACACTGTATCATGCGCTTGCCTTTAATCTTTACAATTTCGTTTGCAGATATTGTATTTCCTATTTTATTTTTAGCTCTACACCTTATTACTTCCGTCTGTTCAGCTAAGTAAGTTAAACGCAAATTCCTCCCTTTCAGAGACTCGACGTCTGTTTTATTTCTCCATTGTTGTCTGGTCTGGTTATAACACATATTTATGTCACATGGTGAAAACTCCATCCATACATGTATATCACCGGAGTCAACACATGGCACATTGCATGTTAAAGTATAAAATTTGTTATATTGGTAGTAGTCCCCTGCTTTATCTGACTTTATCTCTACTAAAGGTTTACCTGTCAAAACAACACATTTATATAGTTACCTCATTTATACATATAGAAGCTAATAATAAATCATTCTTAAATAAACAAAGAAACTTTCTTGTTTCTCCCTTCTTTTTTTTTTTAACTTTTTGTATGTTAATGGAAGTAAAACCTTTGTAATAATGTTTAATTTTTCTGAACCATACCAAATTAATAGAGCTCTTATTCAAACTTTTCAATTGATAATTACTAGAACATTTAAATAATGGTTTTCAACATTTGTTGAATGAGACGCTAGCTTCTAGATATTTAGAGGTTTACTTATTTTATAGAAATCTGATTGTGTTTGAAGACTGTATATTGTTCTCTTTTGTTTGTGTCGTTGAGTTACTATTCCATTCACAAATTTCCCACATATGCTTTTAATCGTAAACTTTGCAAAAAAACTTGAAACCTTATTACTGATATCTTGATAGCCCTTAGATAACCACAAATTGTTACTTACATCTAACAACCAATTTAATATCTTTAGTTACTAAAATGGTGCTTTCAGCTTTAACTGTGTATGTTCCAGTCATATATTTTGCCACTCTCTTGATGGAATAAGCAGTTGTGTTCGTCGTAGTGCTGCAAAATTATTACATAATTATGTAATACTTGAATAGAGTAATTGAAATACTTTTTTTTGTAATTCTTTATATTTCATATTTAATGTAAAACACGTCCAATTGTTGTGTTTTACTGGATATTGTTTTAAACGTAGCAGCCGTTTAGATGATAAATAAATACTCTAATTTTGGGGAAGGCATTTATCGTACCATTCCATAAGCTCTTAAGATGTCTCAGCAATTCTTACTAATATTTATTCAAACATGATAATCTAATCAGATAATTCAAGATAATATATGTTCAAATTTGTTTTGTAGTAACACAGGAAAACATCTTGCAAAAAGTTTATGTATAGATATCGATGATGATGGCGAGCTAACAATGATTGATTATTCAATGATTATTCATTTAACATACGTTATAGTCTCGTTTCCGTCCACATTATGAAGCTGGTTATTCCCGCGCCACCATGTAATTGTGGGAAGGAAGGGATTTCCATTAAAGTCAGCTCTCAAGGTTACCCGTTTACCTTCTTCTGCATACACTATTGACCAAGCAATTACTAATGATACAAAATCTGTGAAAGGTAAAACCGTGATAACATTATTCATAGAATTTACGAAACAAGTTTTATATGCTTATTTTGAGCTCTATTGATGATTTTTGTGCAGATGGAACGAGATTGATTGTTTTTAAGGCCACTTTCAACACTATTGAGCTATTTCGTGGCGGTCAGTATTTATTGGTGGAGGAAGCCGGAGTGCCCGGAGAGAACTACCGACCATCGATAGAAAAACTGACAATCCTAGTCAATTACGATTAGAGTCGAGTGCATCTGCCCCGTGCGGAAGTCGAACTCACAACCTCAGTGTTGACTGGCTAGTGATACAGTAGTTCGACTACTTAGACCACTGGGACACAGAGGCCCCAAGATGAAACGAGTTTGGCGTCTTAATTATAAAGCTTTTGCATTTTGTTCTTTTTTACCTTTGATAACAATTTACTATGATACTTGAATATCAGCCAGAACAACAAAAAAGACAAAGATGTGCTTTGATTTTTGTCCTGAAATTCAAATAATTTAACACGTTGTTTTAATGGCATGTTTTAACAAACGACTTAAGTTTATCGACAGTTTTTTTAATTAAATACATTGTAATATTTCTTTAAAAAAAACTGTAAAGGTCAACATTTTGATCACTTATCCCTTGTGGAAGTGCTTATTACATAAAACTGCTCCAACAGAGTCATGAAGAAGAACGACTGAAATCAACACTACATGAGTTTTACGGTCGCCATCACAAACTGATTGACCGATACGATATGTGTACATCTCAACTCACTATCGACGTGTTTCGCAGTCGTAGATTTTTAGATACCAAAATAGCCGTTTAATCTGTTAAGTTTTTCTCCTTTTGCAATTCATACGATTCCCTCAGTTTTTGTTTGTTACCTTTTTAATTTGTCTTTTTAATTTATGAGATTGAAACATCGGAAAATATACTTTCAGATTAAAATTTATTTGTTTCCAATATGTGAAGGTAACTTTTGTTCACTTCGTATAAATTCATGGTAGTTAAGATACATAAATTTAACACCTAATGATTTCAACACCTACCCACTACATTTATTACGGTGCTGACATTATTTTGTTTTCCATCATGCGTCAGCACTTTACACGTGTATTCTCCTTCGTCACTCTTTTTAGCATTTGTTACGACCATGTTGCTGTACAAAACATCAAAGTCGACAGTTTCTGACTTAACCTCTGTTATTGGATCTGTATAATGTAGTCGATCTGATCTCTGAAATATCAAATCAAACCATCAAATGGATGTATGAGATTTGAACATCAGTATACCATTGTTGCCAGTGTAGCAGTTGAGCTGATTTTTCGATGTTTCGAAACGACTTTCATCTAAATTAAACAGGTACTTCCCAATTTTTCATAAGCATTTAGTATATTTTCGCTTTGCTTCATTGTTTAAACATTCGTGTAATTAGTTCTAATTAAATTTACTATACATAATTCCTTTATTTAGAAAATCAATTATTATATAAGTCTAATAATTTTTGAAATCCTTTCTTTTTCTTGCAAGAGCCATTTTCTGTACAAGACTTTCAATGTAGGTTCCTTAACAAGGACTTTTTGCATTCTCGCCAGTTTCAGCCTTTGAATGGACATTTTTATGTCTAAATTGGTGAAACGTTGGCTTTTCTTCAAAATTTTGTGAATGTACAAATCTGGTTCTTACTTACGTGAATTTGACCATGTATATACTCTGATTTGTAGTTCCTGAGAAAAATGCGAAAATGGAAGTTTTATGTGCGAATGGACGGAAGAACACATGGACGTCCGGGTGGACGGGCCTACAGATTTACGGATGAACGTCCGGATTGACAGAGTGAGGTAAAACAGTGCACCCGATGAGTAAGACAAAGTGGTTATTTCCTTACCTCATTTGATGAGTATGACCAGTTCATAACAAATGTAGCTCCTCTATCAATATATACCCTGCACTGGATTTCAAATTCCTCACCTATCATTACTGTTGTTTTAGATATTATTAAGGCTGGCTGTGGTACTGATGTTGATCCTAAGTATTGTTAAAAGAAAAATTTAATAGTTGCACTCATCGTTAAATAATAATAACATTAAGTTTACTCTCTTTAAAAGTAAAGATGTACAATAAACAAATGTATACTTAGATAAACACACATTTACAAGTTGATGTGTCGGTACACCACAAATGCCCCCTCCCCCTTTTTCTCCCTTGCTGCAGCATTTAGATGAATGAATGAATCTTAAATTACAGGTGCTGACATAATTTTTAAGCATAATAACATAAAATATATAGTGACAGTAATGACGGTAAACGGATAATAAGATAATAATTTCATCGCAAGCATATACATACAACTGTTATGCAATTGTAATGTGTAATCTAAGACAATTTTTCAGTTAAGTTCTTTTAGCTAGCTGGTAAAACAAATACAAGTTTTCATCAAATCTTAGGGCCCTAATTCTGCTAAACAATTGTCAAGCTAAACACAAACTCAATAAGTAAGTTATCATTATACATTCATGTATCAAAATTAAAATAGATATTTATAGGGCATAATGATGAAAGTCAAAACAAATGTTTGCTTTCAGAATGACAGAAGGACTGAATGACAGAAACACGGACATGGGTAACACAGTATGCCCCAGCCTCAAATGAAAATATAGTACCAGTGCACAATATTTTTCTTGAGAGCTGTTTACTGTTAACTTCATATAAAAGCTATAAGCTTACTTTCTGTGATAAAATCCATAGTGGAAAATTAGTTTTATTCATTGCAAATAACAGTCAGAGATTGATGGATCTGAGGGAAAATATTGCAATTGTTTCCATTGATATTTGTATTGTTTCCCAAAAATATTTCAACCGAACATGTATTCGCTATTTGATTCAATCTTAAAGACAAATTGAAAGAGTTGGTATTGCTTTGTTTCATAAAAAAGAATGGCCAACGTAGATTCAAGTATCTTGTCTTAGGGGGGATCAATCCTACTTTGTAAAAAATCACTCTGATTCAAACAAAACATTCTCTGAAACTGACATTATCCAGATGCTTGATTTCTTGATTGACAACATATTTGTTACGTTTGGAAGACGTGTTTTTCAACAAACAATCGGCATTCCCATGGGAACCAACTGTTTCCCTCTTCTTGCCAACTTGTTCCTTAATTTTTATGAGGCTGACTTCATACAGGAACTTCTTAGGAAGAAAGAAAAGAAGTTATCAGTATCCTTTAACTTTCTCTTCCGCTATATAAATGATGTTCTCTCACTAAATAATTCAAAATTTGTTGACTATGTTGAACGCATCTATCCCATCGAACTTGAGATAAAGGATACAACAGATTCAGTTAAGTCTGCTTCATATCTTGACTTACATCTAGAAATTGACAATGAGGGTTGGTTGAAGACAAAACTTTACGACAAAAGAGATGATTTCAGCTTCCCAATTGTGAACTTTCCGTTTCTATGTAGCAACATTCCAGCAGCGCCTGCATACGGAGCATATATCTGCCAATTGATACAATATTCCCGGGCTTGTATATCTTATCATGATTTCCTTGATAGAGGGTTGCTGCTCACAAGGAAGCTATTATACCAAGAGTTCTAAATGGTGAAGTTGAAATCATCCCTTCGTAAATTTTACGGTCACGAGTTGGTTGACCGTTAGCGTTATGTTCCTAATGTCGTAACTACAATCCCGTCCCCTTTTTACGAATGTAACCTACCGACTTGTTACCGGGTTTGTACTTACATGAGCAACTCCACATGTGGAGCAGGATCTGCTTACACTTCCGGAGCACCTGAGATCACCCCCAGTTTTTGGTGGGGTTCGTGTTACTTAGTCTTTAGTTTTCTATGTTGTGTTTTGTGTACTATTGTTTGTCTGTTTGTCTGTTTGTCTTTTTCTTTTTTAGCCATGGCGTTGTCAGTTTATTTTCGATTTATAAGTTTGAATGTCCCTCTGGTATCTTTCGACCCTCTCTTAATGTAGCTGTTTAATTTTAAAAATTGCAAACCATCCTTGGTACAGTGGATATTTACAAATAGACAATATAATTCTTACCGAAATCTTGGCAATTCAAATGCAATTATGTTTTAAATATTCCCTCTGAATATAACAACCAATCTCACGTACCCAGTGTCAATTATACCTTTGTACAATACTTAATAAACGGGTCAATATGTTCTTTCTTTGTCTTTAAGGATCATGTGGCCATAAATGTTACTAGACAGCTACACGGTTAATAGTTCATTCAAAGACTACTTCAAAATTCCAGAATTAAATGAGGGTAGAGTATGTGATGAAAGAGTATGATGAAAAATAAATTCTACCAAATGTGAAACTTTTGTGAAAACTGTCTATTGAGTTACGAGTATTAGCTTGTTTAGTACAGACAAATAGACTATATCCCCAGAGGCGAATGTGACAGGGGTGAATAATGAATTTTGAAAATATCCATGATATCTATGACCTGGATTTTATATGCTATTACATTTTTAAGGGTTGCGGTTTTGTATCATCAATTGTACATCTTCTTTTTTTTCTTTTGGTGTACACTACTAGTACTGTTGAACTTATGATTCCTTCTTTCTGTTCCATAACATTTATGTTTTATTTTCAAACTATTGAGTGTTAACAAAATAGATTACCTGCATGAAATAACTGACCTTTGACAAATGTTGAAGCAGTTAAATTCATATATCTGATACTCGAAAACACAATTCAATGAAACAAAAAATTGTAAAGAGTAACACGAAATCCTGTAATCATCGGATCTAGGAACCTATTAGTCGATGTTTCCGTTGATCGGTGCACCATAAGGTATTACACAATAAATTCAAGAAAACTACGCATGCGCTTAATTAAATCATTTAGTTCATATTTTGATTGAAGACAACGCATCAATTGACGTTTCTCTCTATTTCCTAATGGTAGTTCAATATCGAGGTATTATTTGGGTTACCTGATTGATTTGGAACATCATCGCTCCAGGAAAAGTTTCATTTCGGAAAGACATTCGCACTTTAACAATGCGCACAACGAAATCCGAGCTACTGGTGTAATCGAAGTGCGGAATTCCCATAGTGCCATCCTACGTGTTCTTATTATTGCTTAATACTTATTTTCCGTATTTTAAAATATACACAAATAAAAAATGGAGATATTAAGACATGAGGATTTTCAGAAGCAAAATAACGAATAGTTGTTTGAACTAAATCTGTTTGTTTCTTTTACTCATTTAAACAAAACAATGTAAAGAATATGAGTTCCTCATTAGAAAGCACAAAACGGAGATTCTTGAATAGTATAAAACGTCAACTCAATTATTGAGGTCATAAGATGGCTTGAAAGCCATGTTTTCCAAAAAAAAATATATACACTACCATAGAAGTGACCACTGCATTTTGAAAATAATAGTTGGTTTTGAAAACAAAATATTTGATGTTTGATAAGTAACCGTTTCATAAAAAGGCTCATCAAAGATTCCAGTAAAAAGTATCAAAAGTTCATGGAAATGATATTAAAACATTTGTGCAGGGGATCGAACTACTCAGCCTTTAAGTCCTTTTTTAAATAGGTGTAAATTATGATATTTTGTTTGAGAAAACTACATTTTACACAATTAACTGAGTTGTTTTACTCTTATTGTTCAAGAACACCCAACCTATTTGGAATCTTATGAAAAATATTTTTGGTATAGCTTCCCGTATATACCCAGGGGTCTGAAAAATACTCCCGCTGAAAAGACTGGACAAAAAAATAAATAATTTCAAGGTCAGAACAAGTTCAAGTGCTAGAGAAGGTAATGTAAAGTGGTGTTTGATTCACAAACCAAACAATGTCAAAATTTCTTTTCCTGGCAAATGTACCTTCAATATTATCAAGATAAAATGTCAATGTCTACGAATGATGAGGTGTATATAACCACTATCTAAAGTTATGTAATTATATTTAAGGGGTATGTTAACAGATGTTGTAGTTCTAGTTTAGAGATAATTATGCTTCTTTTTAATTATTACGACCTTGATCTTTGACCTAGTAACCCCTACACTCATAGAAATATTCCTCACAACAGAGGAGTCTTATCCACACAGGTTTGAATGTATGATTGAAATGTTTTATCTAAACATATCCCACCATTTCAGTAAAAGCTGCAGTTTAACCTTTTAATTAATGAACTTAAAAAACACAAGACATTTCCGTCTTCAGAAGAGACCAGGCCTATTGGTCATAAAACCTTTCGAGTCAGTTTTTTGTATTCGTACTCCAATATCAACCAATCAAAATGCTGTATTCAATGTTTCGAGCAAGATTTTTGAGCTTTGAGCACTGAGTCAAGTTTTATGACTCCAAGCCCATATAATCCTAGGATAATGGATACTGCCTTGTTAATTAATGTCAGGAAGAAAACAATGTTTCTGCCCAAATGTCATTCAGAAAACTATAATCTAAATAAAAGAGAGGTAAATCCATTTTACTTACTAAGGTACCTGAGAACCATAATAAGGGAGTCTTCTTTCCCATCTTTGGATGTTGCTTTACATTCGAATTGGCCATCAAAGAACTGGTTAGGGTAGAGCAGTATAAAACCAAGTCTTGGGTCATAAGACACAGCAGTACTGTCTCCGACCTCAACCTCCTTATTTTCAACAGTATTAAGCAATTTGACTTTCGTAGACGGATCTGTTACCCGACAAGGTAGATATGACTTTCTATAGTGGTAGATTGTCAAATTCAGAAATTCTGTCCATGTTGGTGCAAATAAATTGTTTGGATCTACAATTAAGATACATTTAGTCAAGAACCACAATTGGTATCAATGTTTGGATTTTTGATTTTTTTATGACAATTATAAAGTTATGTGGAATCCTTGTTAAAAATTCCACAAATGTTATCTAATTAAAGGCCAGTCTGGATTAGTGAATTGATCTCAAGGAAATTTGAATGAATAAGACCTTGGTAGTTTCTTAAAAATATTAAGCGTTAACTACTTTCTACCCGGGGCAAATGCAAGTTTCTTTTCAAACGTGTATAGGTTGAATAAAATGTCTTGTTTAATTCAAATTAGAACTAAAAGGCAGAAACAAATATTTGATTTTCGCCCTATTTATGAGACGTGTATGTATGTGTGTGTGTGTGTATGTATGTATGTATGTATGTATGTATGTATGTATGTATGTATGTAGTAAGGAAGTGTAACAAAGTCGTTCAAAAGAGAAATACGGCTGTATAAAAAAGCAAACGTAGATATTTTTAATAACATGTTAAATTCTGTTGATTGGAAAGAACTCTTTTCTGGTGTTCATGACGTTGATGAAATGGTCAGTACATTTACCAAAACAATTCTTGACATTGCAGGAGAGAACATTCCAACTTGAATTGTAACAATATGTGGCAACTATAAACCCTGGTTCAATAATAAAATTAGAAAATCAATTCGCAAGAGAGATAGACTTCGAAAAAAGGCAATCAAATCTAAAAAAGTAACCGATACTAATAAATATAAAAAACAGAGAAACAGAGTGGATAATATGAAAAAAGAAGCGAAAGAAATTTTGGAAACAAATTTGATAAATATAATATTAGATAATGCCGGCAATTCTAAAACTTACTGGAAAATTGTGAAGATGCTGATTAAACCCAATAAAGGTTTCTTGTAATATACCCCCACTCTAAAATATTTTAAACGATGACAGTTTTGATAACATTGCTTACGGTGACGACGAGAAATGCGACCTTCTAAATATTAAGTATTTCTGTTTTATTTCATCGTTGGAAGGAACTGATGCTCAATTACCCGATTTTGATGAAAAAGACTATTAATCTATAGTGATTAATACTAATGAAATTGTTGATATCATCAAACTTCTAAATCCCAACAAAGCATCATGTCCCGACATCATAAGTCATAAGATACTCAAAATTTGACCCGATAAAATTGCAATTCCACTAAGTATGATATTTAATAAATCATTTCAGCAGTGCAAGTATCAATCTAGCTCGAAAATTGCAAATGTAATAGCTTTATTTAAAAAGGGTGACAATTCATTACCTTCCAATTATCGACCAATACCACTCATTAGTTGTATAAGTAAAATCATGCAACGTGTTATACATAAACATGTTTCAACCACTTACAAAGAAACAAATTGATATATGCATATCAATCTGGTGTTCTCCCTAAATGCTCAACTGTTCATCAACTATTAGCAATATATAATTGCATTTTTTGCGGATTAGTTTTTTGTATTTTACGATTTTTCAAAAGCCTTTGATAAAGTTTGGCATGATGTACTTGTAGATAAAATGAAGGCTTATGGTATAAAAGGTAATCTATTAAAATGGTTTAAAAGCTATCTGAATGATAGAAAACAAAGTGGTTATTAAACAGTTTTCTACTTCTTCAAAACTTTGCAATAATTCTGCTGGGGTTCCACAAGGGTCTGTCCTCGGACTATTGCATTTTATATTATTTACATAAATGATATTGCGGCGCTTTATTCTCTCTGCAGACTCTTTGCAGATTACACATCGTTCAGCTATGCAGATCACGATGCATTGCAGATAGCATCTGTTATAAATCACGACATGGATGAGCTGATCGAATGGTCTCAAAAGTTTTTAATATCTTTTAATCCTGATAAAAAAGAAATTATGTCATTTTCGAATGTTGACATCCCAGAAATGAATTTTACATTTAATGGAAAAACATAACAGTAACTAATGATCACAAACACTTAGGGGCTACATTTACAGTGATGCTAAATGAAATGTTCATATTGACAATATTATTTTAAGTGTATCTAAACATATAAATATGATAAGGAAACTGAAATATAGACTTAGTAAAAAAATGTTGAATCTAGTTTTAATAAGACTTTTATTTGAATGTACCAGTGAAGTTTGGGATAATATGAGATTGGGTAATATTAATAAGATGAAGCAATTACAGCTTCTAGCTGCTCGAGTAGTAACGGGTTTACCTATTTTTACAAGCTCAAGGGTAATTTACTAGGAACTTGGATGGGAAACGTTCGCAGAAAGAAGAGAAAGATGAAAAATTCAAATGTTTTATAATATTACACAAAATAATGTATCAGAATATTTGAGTAATCTAATTCCACCAACAATCCAAAGTATGACTGTTTATGCATTACGCAATGGTAACGATATAATACTTCCGTTCTGCAGACTTCCATTAACTAATGAATCATTTATACCATCAACTATACGTCTATGGAATAAACTTGATATTTCAACCCGTGAAGCAGATACAATAGGAAAATTAAAAAAAAGAAACTAAAAAAATTAAATCCCAATAGTAATAAATACATGCCGAAACATTACGATTTTGGAAGTCGTAAACTTAACATTGTGCTTACTCAACTTCGATGTTCTGCTTCCTTCCTGAATTATGATCTGTCTAGAATTAATTTTATGATCCACTGCGGTGTGTATCGCAAAGATTCGCATCATTTCTTTTTTAAATGTATATTATATTCAGAAATAAGAAGTAAGCTTTAAGAAAATCTTAGCTGGCTCCCAAATAACTGTCCATTAAATGTAGAACTATTAACCTCGGGTAGTAGTCTACTTACTCAGGAGCAAAATGAAAATATCTTCAAACATGTGTTTGAGTTTATCAGAGGGTCGAGTAGATTCCTTACTGTAGATAGTAAAACTTGACCACATATACATCATCATTTAGGTTCAGTTGTGTCTTTTTTTTTTTTGGGGGGGGGGGGTTGTTTTTGTTTTTATTTTTATTAATTTATTTACTTGTTGTTTTTTTGTGTTCTTTTATTTATTTATTTTTTTCTCTCTACTTCTTTTGTGCTATTTAATTTTTCTGTCCAATTTGTACAAATGTTGAAACAATATGTAATATATGCATGCTCTTATATATTGTATTGTTAAATATGTTAAATGGAGAAGACTTCATAATATAAAATAGAAAATGTGGTATGATTGCCAATGAGACAACTATTCACAAGAGACCAAACGGCCTTCAACAAAGCCTATACCGCATAGTCAGCTATAAAAGGTCCCTAAATGACAAATGTAAAACATTTCAAACGAGAAAACTAACGGCCTAATTAATGTACAAAAAAATGAACGAAAAACAAATATGTAACACAGCAACAAACGACAACCACTGAATTACAGGCTCCTGACTTGGGACATATAAGTCTGTTTGACTTGTGTCTCATCCAATTTGTGCTTATGCAAATACAATATGTTTAAACTAAACTTAGTGCTACGTTTGCCCACACCTTTCAAATCCAGGTAATGTTAACCTAATTTTGTTTAAGAACTTAAAATTTAATTAAAGTTTAAAACCTCGGACTACTCAAGAGTAAACTAAATTTCCTGAGTAACAAGACACAGTAACACATGAGAAATCTAAAGGTATTCTTTCTCATATCAATTGTTATTAATCGTTGTCTTGTTTAGAAACTCCATTTTCATTAGAATGATTCCCTTACCTTGACAAAATATATAATAACAACGTGACACCCTATCAATAATAAGAGGCAACCGTTATTGTCAAACATAAGTAATAATAACCAAAACTGTTTAAGGTAGCTGTGGTGTCTAAATGTTCGATTGATTTTCTTACACTTTTGTGAAAGACCTCTGGATCAATGTACTTTCAAATTTCAATATAAAAACTGGGGGTCACGGGCCTTGTTTTTTTTTCGTTAAAATACATTGAAATTAACGTAATCACAGTTATTCTATATGGATTATATAGGGAAAACTTCATTTTTTCTTAATTGAGGAGTCGTTAAACGATAGGATTAATTAAAATTTAATGAGAGAAATGCATTTCATAAATACATGCATGCCCTTGATTTTAAAAGGATTGATGTCTGAAAATTTTGAATGCATTAAAGCATAATCTTTGAATTTCAAGTTTTAGATATTTCTGTTATATATTGAATGATACTTGATATAATATTTCTGAATAAAAAAATATTTTTGCAACATGACTAGAATGGATGCTCAGAAAAAGACTTCCGATCTATATTAAGTATGTTCGAGTTTAATTTTCAATATTTCTAGGGTCTATATTTTTGCAATGTTTTATTTTTTTTTTTTTTCAATTTACTAATTCTGCACTTTTTTTTAAAGATAAACATGATGCTAGGGATATTTGTCGATATATCTCTTGATTGACTGTTAGTACGCGAGGGTATTACTTCCCTCAGTAGCTAGTACCTCGGCACGAGCATGGAAATTCGAATATTCTTTAATTGAAATTTGATGTTATGAAATTTTGGAAATAATTTTCAGTTGAGGAATGTTGTGTAGCAAAATTCGTGACGTTAACGTTATTTCACAGAATGATCTTTATCATAAAATTAGGGGAAAATTAACCAGTTGTGAAAATATCCACTAAATCATTAACTCTTAATTCATAAATCTCCAATTCAAATCTGTAACTGTTAATATTTACCGCTAATATAGATATAAACTTTGGTCCCAAAATGATCATTATCAGCATAGTAACATTTATATTCTCCTGTGTACGTGATATCTGGGTTAAAAACGTGATACAAAGCTGCAAAGTTCCGGCCAGTTTCGCTTCCGGTAAGTTTAACCTTTGTTATATTCAAGGGATCGAAGTTAGGTTCTTCCTACAAGGAAAAACAAACAGTAATTTTATTAATTATTACAGCAGTTATTTAAAGAGCTGTTATATAAAACAGAGCGTGTGCTGAAAATGTAATCAAAGAGTCAAAAACGGTTTTAACTAATCCCATAAAGGGCAAACAAATTTTCCAGTTTGGTAAGAAGAAATAAAAATTTACACATTGGATATTTTGGAACTGTAATGCGTTTATATTATTTCACTTCAGAATGTCTTTTATATTTGTAGTCGTAAACGGGGGAATGAATCAAAGAGCAGAAAACAGCCCAAGGCCACCAAAGGGTCTTCAACACAGCGATAAAATCCCGCACCTGGTGGAAGGCTTCAACAGGCCCCTAAACAAAAATGTGTACTAGTTCAGTGAAAACCGACGTCACACTAAACTTTGAAACATATAAATGAACTCAAATTAAACAAACGTTCAAAACTAACAAAGGTCAGAGGCTCCGGACTTGAGACAGTCACAAAAATGCGGCGGGGTTAAACATGTTAAATGAGATCTCAACCCTCCCCCTATATCTCTAGCCAGTGTAGAATAAACAAACACACATCAATACGCACAGTAAAACTCAGTTTAAAAGAAGTCTGAGTCCGATGTCAGAATAGGTAACAGAAGAAACTAAGCAAAATGACAATGATACATAAAGTAACAAAGGACTACTAGCAGTTACTGACATGCAGCTCCAAACATCAATTAAACTGATTGAAAGATTATGTCTTCATTATATGAAAGTCAAGCAAATTCCCTTTCGTCAGGGGTTTAGTATCCTACCATTTATGAAATATATGAAAAGAACATAACCCGTATCATGCCAACAACTGGTTTTTAGAATAAATGTGTTTATTTCCGATGCGAAGACCCTATGAGTGAATCAATATTAATTTCAAAAAATGCCATCTTTAATGACCTGACAACAGTATCGTAACTATATCCTTCTGTATAAGTCTTTTGAAAGGTTTGGTAAGCTTTTGAGGTAAATGACGACATGCTTGGGCTTTGTATAGATTATTACCATAAAAGATAAGATGTGAAATACATGAACGTATAAGATGTCTACATGTTGATTTATATTTACAAATGATGTCCTTGTACCGATGATAAAATTTAGTAAATGATTTGACAAGTTTGTGATATCGAAAACCGTGGTGTAATAATTTTTCAGAAATACAGAGATTTCTTTCGTTAAAATCAAATACGTTGTTACATACACAAGCGAATCGAACAAGTTGAGATATATAAACGCCATAAGATGATGCCAATGGAACCTCACCATCTAAAAATGAATAATTAACAATAGGAAATGAAAAATTATCTCTTTTATCGTAAATGTTGGTATAAAGCTTTCCGTTAAAGATATAGATATCAAGATCATGGACACGGCAGTGTTCATTATTAGTTTAAGCTTTATTTAAAGTCAGTTCAGCAGGATAAATCTCTTAGTGTACATACTGAAGTCGACATCATTGACAGCCAATATATCATCCAAATATCTAAAAGTGTTATTGAATTTTTGTATCAGTTGTTGTTTCGATGGATCTTTGCTGATTTTAGTCATAAATTGTAACTCGTTACAATACAGAAACAGGTCCGCAATCAGTGGTACAGTTATTCCCCATTGGAATTCCGATAACTTGACGTTAACCCCTCCCGATTTGAGACCGGACGTCGATCTGAGTCTTACATATATAATCGCATTTTCTGACTTTTTAAATTGCCCACTTTAATAGCCGTGTGAAATTTTTCTTCATAGCATTATTTGTATGCAGCATTTTCTGCAATAACTAATCTCACATTTTTATCTTTTGTTCAACAATGGCAAAATAAATTCACAAAACAATATAATTAATCTACATTACATAATATTTGTAATACAAATTCATGAAATCAGTATCCAATCAGTGTTTTGGTAATTGAAGTCATTTCCTATCGTAATTGAAGTTCTTTTTACATAAGCTTTAACTATTTCTGTGAATTGCTGTTACGGATTATATTGTCATCGGATAAGTGTCAGACTTATTTTGTTATTAGGTTGTTGTACATTATTTTTGCATTATGTTTTCATTGTCTTGTAAAACAACACATATTAATAAAGTCTAAACTTTAGCTGAAACCACTTATAAATGTGGTTCTCCATCATTTATGTATTTATATGAACATACAAAATACTTACACTGACTTTACTTCTACGTAAAACTATAAGCTTTGAAGGATATGCACCATGACATTCTATAGTAAAGTTGTGTCCCGTGGGTATCACATGATCTCCTGAGTTGGTCTCATTGTAGCTGGTGTAGCTGTCTCCAGTAGGTCGTACTTTAATATCTGGAAATACCGCTACAAAATATAGGAATGTTTACATTAGAGGCAACTGTAGTTATCTGATGTTCACATCTCATAATTCCATTACAGTGGGGACGCCATGCATCGGAACCGCGCCTTCTTTCATATTACTGACATACAACAGGTCTCAAAAATCTGGAACCCAATAATTTAACTTTATGAATATTAGATAAATTATAGAAAGGTTTGAATAATATCCATAACAACATTTTTGTTTATAAGAAAGACATGTGGCTAGATATTGACCATTTTCAAAGAAATCACACATCTCAATCCCTGTCCTCCAACACAGCAGTACGACATTTTAATATTTACACACGGTCACACTTTCAATACCTTTCAAATCAATGGAAATATCTTATAAGGTTTAACAACAAGTAACCTTTATAATCAGAACCACAATCTCAATTGATGTTTAATTGTCTTTAACACATGTACAAGTGAAAGGAAGCAGCTAAGTTTGAATCTAGGAATAATTAGTTACTTCATTTGTTGGTCACATATTTGAAGTTTGAACAGAAATTCATACACCAAACATTTACATTTCATGCATTCAGTTTTGATTTTTTTTTCTCAAACTACGTACATAGATTATGTTAACAGCTTTAATCATCTCATCACATCTCTAGTTGGCAAGTTTTGCTTACATATTCATATTTTTCTGTACCTTGCTTGTTGCAGAACAAAGAACGGATGAAATTAGTGGATAAACACAATACTATAAATTATAAGTTTGCTACTGACCCCCTACGGATCCATAGAGGGTTATTAAAATCCATATGTAGTGAGGCCGAAGGCCGAATCTCCTATGGAATTTACTCACCCTCTATGGTCTGTAGGGGGTCAGTAGTGAACCGTATAACGAATTTATCACACACGGGGCTTTTCCTGCTGTGTTTTGTAGAAAAATAAACAATGAAATACAACAACATCAATAGATGACGTCACCATTAACAGTAGACGTGACGTCATGAACCCCCTATGAAATTTACAAACCCCCTACGGATCCAAAGGGGGTCACCACGTGACGGCGTTTAACCAATCACAACGTCATAATTTACCCGCGGTGCGATAAAACACATCATTGGCGTTCATAAAAGCTTTAAAAAACAAGAGGCTCTCACCTGTATTTCAGAGGAGAAGATTTTTAAATGTTAGCAAACTTGATGAACAAATTGTGTAAAATTGTCTTTAAAGGGCAATAACTCCTTAAGGGGTCAATTGACAATTTTGGTCATATTAACTTTTTTGTAGATCTTACTTTGCTGAACATAATTGCTGCTTACAATTTACATATATCTATAGTTATATTCAAAATAATAACAAAAAACTGCAAAATTTTGTTAAGACTACCAATTCGGTGGCAGCAACTCAACAATGGGTTGTTCGATTCGTCTGATAATTTCAGGGCCGATATATCTTGACCAATTAAACAATTTTACCCCATGTCACATTTGCTCTAAAAGATTTAGTTTTTGAGATATAAGCAAAAAAACTGCATTTGACCCTTATGTTCTATTTTTAGCCATGGCGGCCATGTTTGTCGATGGATACAAACTTCGGATACAATTTATAAACAAGATACCCTAAGAAACATTTAGTTAAAGTTTGAAGGTAATTGGCCCAGTAGTTTCAGAGGAGAAGATTTTTAAATGTTAGCAAACTTGATGAACAAATTGTGTAAAATTGTCTTTAAAGGGCAATAACTCCTTAAGGGGTCAATTGACAATTATGGTCATATTAACTTTTTTGTAGATCTTACTTTGCTGAACATCATTGCTGCTTACAGTTTATATATATCTAAAATTATATTCAAAATAATAACAAAACACTGCAAAATTTTGTTAAAACTACCAATTCGGTGGCAGCAACCCAACAATGGGTTGTTTGATTGGTCTGAAAATTTCAGAGCTAATAGATCTTGACCAATTGAACAATTTTAATCCTGTCACATTTGCTCTAAAAGCTTTAGTTTTTGACATATAAGCCAAAAACTGCATTTGACCCCTATGTTCTATTTTTAGCCACGTCAGCCATGTTTGTCGATGGATCAAAACTTCGGATACAATTCATAAACTAGATACCCTAAGGAAATTTAGTAAAGGTTTGAAGGTATTTGGCCCAGTAGTTTCAGAGGAGAAGATTTTTTAAATAGTTTACGACGACAGACGACAGACGACAGACGACGACGACAGACGACAGACGACAGACGACGACGACAGACGACAGACGACAGACGACGACGACGACAGACGACGGACGACGACAGACGCCAAGTGATGGCATAAGCTCACATGGGGCCCTTCGGGCCCCGGTGAGCTAAAAACTGAATACTTTATATTTTGAACAATCATTATTTATTTTTGATACTAGTCAATTTCAAGACGTTTTCCGTTGCTTTGATTAATCACCCAAAACATTGTTGTGTGTAATTTCCAATCATATGATAAAAGTAGCCATCCAGATGTTAGAACATCATTTTTGATACTTGATTGTTTGTATATATCAATCATGTGATTAACTCTAGGTTTTATATTTTATATCTAGATGATTATTGTTTAAACCTACACTTAACTCCAATCTAACTTTCTTAATAATTTTTGTGATCGTTCATTTTTGCTGATAGATTTTCAGCATTTTTAAGATGGTAATGTATATGTTTATCAGCAATGCCATCTGAATGGCAGTGGCATCGTAGAAAACACCAGTAGGCAATTTTTTGATATTTTCTAGTTTTTGTCTATCGTTTGTTAATTATTATGAAAATTTGGTGGCCTTGTGTTTTTTTTATTTTCCGGAAACCATAGACGATTATTGTCTATAGTAAAAAGAGGGCTTAGATATGAATGGATGTTCTATGATTGCATATGAGACAACTATCCACCCAATACGTATTGTCTTTTCACGAATAAAGATAAGATATATAAATTTCTGTCAAACCAATACCCTTTTTATTTAAAAACTAAAGGCTACAAAGAGCCATAGTTGCCCACCTGGTATGGTTGCATAAACTTGTTACAATGCAATAAAATATTTGTGTAAGTCGACGTCATGTAAAAATTTGCACCGGATATTCTATAAAAATATTTTTAAACTATCAATCGGGTTCATTCGAGATGACGTTTACCACATAGAGGAGCCCAAAACATTTCCAAAAAATGAAATGCGCTAATACTTATAAAACTCCAAAACGAATATCGTTGATTTACTGTTAGTGGTTCTCCTTAAAATGACCTAATCACAAATGTTAACAAATTGTTGACGCCGTCGGAAACAGCATACGTTTCGCTTTTTGGATCCGCCAAGGCTAGACAAAAATTATCGTGTAGTGGTGTTGCATACCATCATACACATCTATTGATGAACTTTATTCTCCAATAGCTAAATCCTTACAATACTAATTCCACAGCAATGTATGTTATTACTTGTAAGACAAAATTTTGGACCATAAACCTGTAAAATCTACTCGGGATGTCTCTGATCACCATTGGACACATTTACGGAGTTGTTACATTTCCAGAGCCTTTAAATCCATAAACTAAGATACTTACGTTTCTGACAGTTAAAACCATCCCATCCTTGAGCACATCCACTGGAACACTTTCCAATGATACTTTCACAAGCCTCACTTTGATCTTCACAATGACATTCATATTCACAGTTGTTCCCAAACCGTCCAGCTGCACAGTCTAGTATAAAGTATATTTATTGTGAAATAAAGTGTATTTTATATCAAAAACTTCCACTATCTGGACATGTTATACCCTTTAATGCTTTGAAATAATAAAAAATTAAACGTAAATAGTAAATATTTTTCGTAATATTAAAATAAATTGTAATTAAACAAGTCATTTATTGAATATGTTACCTTGAATGAAATTTATAAAGTCTGAATACGGTAGACAGAGAGCAAAGTCTTTTATATTCTACTTAATATCATACAATATACTTAGTTTCACTGCCGACGAATGACAAAAAAATAGGGGTTTAGAGTTTTTATTCTTCAGATATCTTGTAATTTTTCTATATTAAAGATCGAAAACTTACTTATGAGATTTATTCTGAACGTGAAATATTTTATATTTATTTCCAGTGCCTGAGGGAGATATGAAGATTTGTTCACCCAGCAAAATCATATTTCCCGAGGGCATCGCCTGAGGGAAATATGACTTTTTGAGGGTGAACATAATTTCTATACAATTTTGTATATCCACTTCTAAAACAAAACACGACATAAACATTGATTAGCAATACCAATGAAAAGTTAATCATTTATTCTATGACATATTCAAGTGTTTCTCTATTTTGTTTTACATCTGAAATAGTTTTGAACACAACAATGATTATACTATTGCTATCGTAAAAACAAGTTCAAAACGTTATGTACATTTACCGCACTTAACGTCGCACGAGGTAGTTCCGACATTTCAGAGGGAAATATGATACTCAGACGCGAATATGAAGTTTTGTCCAATGTCACGTGGGATTGTTTAAACCAATCAAATGCCGATTTCGCTATCAATATTTTCATACAGTGGAATATTATCATTTGTTTTGTAGGAAATTAGATTAACGATCCAATTGAATGTGAAGATGTGTGCAGTTTGTTTGTCAATACGTTTTATAATTGGCTTGGTAGTGGATTATTCACTTCAGTCGAAGGAGTCTTTGGCATTTCGAAATTTGTTTTATAAGTTTCATCCAAAGAAGCAGTCAACAAATACCAATGCCATATTATTTCTTACTAAAAATAAATTACCACAAAGATAAACGATGTGTAAAAATGCTCAAGCATTATCCAAAAGATATTAAGTTCACAAAATAAACTTCAAACTAGCGTTCATCATTACAGCTATGCGATTCTACTACTAAAAGTGACCGTTTTATTTCCAATATACTGTGCTAAAAAGCATACATTATAAGCTTTCTCTGCGATTCACTCAATAGTTCATATTCTACATAGGACCTTGGGTCCGTCTTACTCTTCTTTACTACAACTAAACATTGAGGCAATGTGTTTACTTACATCATAACTCTGAATAGATTATATGCAGCATTAAGACACAAAATAATGTATATATGTTCAACAGCTAATAAATTCCCATCCATCCACGAAGGATATAAAGCATCACATGCTATACAAGCTCTAAAGTGTCGAGTGAAGCTCTAGCTTTTATATACGTACTGCAATTGGTTATATAACAATCGTCCCATCTCACGGTTTCGTTGGTTGTGAAACACCAGGGTCGAAAATAGTCTGGGGTAGTTCGGCAGTAATTTTCTGGCATCGTCTGCTCTGGAAAATCTGTTACTTTATAATCATGACTATGCGGTTCCTGGGTTTCCCATCTCTGACAGGTGTCATTATATTCAGTCACTGATTCTGTTCCCATATAACTGATGGCTTGTCCATTGTAAAAGCAGTTGTTTGCTGTTAGGAGATGTACAAAAATAACATGGTGCATGCTTCCAGTTTTTTTTTCATATTAAAAAATGAGTAACATAAAATATAAATTAAAAACTTAAATACTAATAATATTTTAATCATTATACTATAGGAAAAGATAGCATTCACATTTCGGCATAAAATTTTTAATTTCTTAGTTGGTCTCACGAGGGTATATGTTATTGTTGTTCAATAAATTCCGAATTCCTGCTGCATATATTGCTTTATTGTAATTCAGAAATGACATATAAATTACAATCTGAGGTGTTCGATAGCAGTGCACATTGTGTTTATATTGCTAAATTGTCATGAAATTCCTATTTTCTTTTAAATTTCTTGAATTTCTAAATTAAATCTTCGTTAAAGACCAGCACATTTGCATTTCCCTTTTGGTTTGATATTCAATTGATTTTAAAGCTTTGCTAAATGAAAGTGTCTCCTTATTCATTTTTTTTAGATTATCTATTTGTCACTGAAAATAGATTTGAAGTGTTTTCTGACTGTTACCATATTAACATGATGAAGTAGAAATAAATTTTCACCATGGTGTAATGCATTTTTGATATGATTTCCAAATAGATTCACATACAACAAACTAAATGTTACCGACATGATTTGAAATGTATATCGATGATACGTTTAAAATCTGAACACCATACCAAAGAGGTTAAGGAGTCATGCAAATGATTTCCATTTACCTACATTCATTTACAACAGGAACTACTTACAAAGCTGACATCGTGGTCCCCAAAATCCCTCCGCACACCTTCCTCCAGGGCATTTTCCTGTCTTTTTATTGCATGCTTGGTTCATGTAACATCGACATCGGTAAATACATTTATAACCAAACTTTCCATCCGGACATACTTCTGACAAGCTTGACAATTCGATTTCTGTCATATATATATACTATTACACACAAGACTATAAGATAAAAATAGACTTACAAAACAAGTACTGAAAACTAAACAAAACAATACGGATTTTCTTTATTCAAATACAAAGACAGTTTGGTTATAAACGGTTGACAAAAAATGCCAAAAATGCCCAAATGTTGGCATATTATGGTGTCTATTGTACATTTGTTTTAAGACAATGTGTGCTGTATTACTGGGAATCTAAAACAACGCTAGTAATAATATATATATGTAGGACTCTAAAGTGCGATTGTACTCTAAAGTGCGACGGTCACGCTAAAGTACGATGGTCTACGCTACAGTACGATGGTCTACGCTAAAGTGCGATTGTGTCAGACGCTAAAATGCGATGGTTGTTTTTTTTTTAAGTGCGATCAGATATTACGCTAAAGTGCGATGATATGACACGCTAAAATCCGATGGTGTAACGGGAATGTGGTTCATGCAATGGTTTGCTTTTGTTTTTGAGTTCCTATTACATTTTCGTTTATTGTTTTATTTATATATCAAGCCGTAGTCTTTCTCTTTTGAATTCTTTTACACTGGTCATTGTATAACCCTATATAGCTTGTTATGCGTCATGGGACAAGGCTTTACGTTGAAGGCCGTATGATTATTAGTTGCATACATGAATGACATTTGGGGTTGGATGGATAGTTCATACTTTATCTTCTTATTTCTAATTAAAGTACGATAGTTGTCCAAAAGGTGTAATGGTTACATTGCAGTATAGTTAGTATATCTGGAATTTAGTGGAAGTCGTTTTTTTTTGTATATTTTATATTTGCTGTTGGTTTGTTGTTTTTAATTTAAATCAGGTTGCTATTTTACTCGTTCAAATTGTTTTACACTTGTTGTTTTGAGGTCCATTGTTCTTAATAAAATAACATGATGTGTAAGACAATGCTCCGCGTTAAAGGTCATACTTTAACCTAAAGTTGCATACATCAATGACATTAGGTCGTGGGTAGAGAATTTTTGTCGTATTGGCAATCATATATTATGATGATATCTTTCGTTAGGTTGCTGTCTAGTTGACGTATATTCATTATTTAACAGAAATAACAAACCATATTGTAATTTTTTTATAGAATTATTCAATTAGAAAGTCAGAAAGACGACTTTTTTTGTGGCACCCCAGCTGGGTTGATTAAAGTTCTTTTTACAATTTTACAAATTAAGTTAACCTCTTCCAGCAACGACCAAAAATGTTCCCGATTGTGATCATTTGTTTCTCTCTTCCTTTTTTTCTTGTGTAAAAAATCCTTAATCTGGACAAACATTCTCGTCATGATGCTGTCTAACGTTGCTAACGTCGATAACTTTGCGGAAAAACTCACTTTAGCGTGTTCAAATGAATAGCACAGACCATCGCACTTTAGCGTATCAAACCATCGCACTTTAGCGTGACCATCGCGTTTTAGCGTCCCCATCGCACTTTAGAGTCCTACATATATATGTTCCGGACCATATGAGTATTTGACCATACGCGTATGGCCATAACCATTTGCGTATACCCATATGGTCCGACCATACGAGTATGGTCGAACCATATGAGTATTATACTCGTTTGATTATTAACGGGCCAGACCATATGAGTATTTAGACCATATAAGTATTTTTCAAATTAATTCTAAAGCCTTCGCACGAGCACACAGCTCGTTCTCCGAACCTAAAACGGCTCAAGTTACTAACTGAATTCCTTAATCTTTACATATTGTCTGAATCTTGGTGTATCTGTTATCTTGCCTTCGCTAGAATCAATTTAGAGCGTTATATCTTGTCGACGTTTTCGTCCGTAAGTTAAACCACAAGCTTTTGAGACATGGATCTTTTTTTTCTCTTAATGTTTAAAGTACTATTTCAGAAAAAAAATGTCTTCTTATCTCTGCTTTTTTTCATTTAAATATATTATTGTGCTCTTTATCATTTTCGTCTATTTTTCTGTTATTGTAAGATCGTATCAATAGGAGCGAGAACACATTAAATAACTAAAAATAATTGGAAATATCTAAGAAAGTTTGATTTACTAAAACACCAAAGTAAATTTTAAAAAAGGAAAGAAAGAGGGTTAAATGACCAAAGTTCCTGTGAGTTAAGCAATTGACTTCTCGTTTAACAGTTCATTTAGTTATTTCTCGAAGTATTTTTCATAAGTCGACATATTACGCTTCGTATACATATAATGATAAATCAATAATGACCATGTAAAAATGATTTTACTATAATTCTTACTCGTTAGTAAAATTCACTTTGTTTCATTAATCATGTAACAATGATTACGATATGATTGAATAAGTAAAAATTTCATTATTAGAAACTATTAATTCATGGGAAACCTTTTCAACGGTCATCGTGTTAACTTACCGGACCATACGCGTACGGTCGGACCATATGAGTATATACGCTTGTAAAAATAACGACGGTATTGATAATAAGGCTTAAGATATCGTGTATAAAGATAATTTCATGTACCTTTACTAATGCACTGCTAGTTTCAAAGGGTATAATCAACTCGGGGCATCGACATAAACATAACACATCTTTCTTAAATTTTCCGTAATGAAAAGTGAACACTTCAAAGAATCAAAGTTTGGACGTACCAAAAAAGTCTTCATTTTTTTCAACGCAAAAATATTCAATAGGAGTACTAGTGTTGAAATATTACCTCCCCTGTAAACACTGAAAACTTTATATTCCCATGTTTGTTCCGTTTTAGAAAGGACGGTATAATTACAAATTCACAAGAAAGTGTTCTGGTAAATAGCAACAATAATAATGAATTGAAATAAAAGCAAAATTTCCATATAATGTTATCATTTCCCTCCTAAAATAGAAAACGACGAGTACAGCCCGTCAAAAGAGCTATGTGTAAAAGTGATTTAAAATGGTGCTTGGAGAATATTTTCCTGGAGTACCAAATCTGATTTATTTTTCTACTGGCTGTATAAATCCTTGAGCCATGCCAACTATCCGTAATGTATGCAGCCAGATTAGTGAAGTTAAGAGACAAAATTCCAAAGGAATCGATTGATATGCAGCAAAGATTAGCACTTTTGAAATTAAGTATCTAAGCAATTCAATCTGACCATATCCCCATGTTAACATTGAATTTAAATAGATCAAGAAGAATTCAAAAACATGTATAGAAGTTAACGTGACAAGGGCAGACTGGTGTACTCAAAATCTTAGATTTGAAAAAATAGATATATTTTAGGAAATTGGTTACATGCTGATGAGGACTATGTGAAACACTCCGAAAATTGATGACCCGAAAGATCTCTCAATTTTGAATGTACATGATAATTCCATTTTCTTTTTATCTATATGCAACAAGGATTAACATTTTTAAAGTTTCCGTTTAAAAGCTTCAAATGCAACTACCTCGATAAATAGTGAACATAAAACATCGTGTATTCGGATATTTGTTTCTTATAACACAGTTCAACAAATAATTTCTTTAAAACGTACGATTGCTGTTTAGAAATTACTTTTGATCAGTATCGTTACCATCATTGTTTTACAATTGATTTTTTCAATTTTTTGGAAAGAGATCAATTTTCTATTGTTCTCGCCTCATCATTTTTGCTTCTGTATTACCCGTCGACTTATGGTCACAACCTCGGTTACAACATAGATAAGTCCGTTGAGTATGGTTTTGGTAAGGACATTTAGATTATAAAACTGCCATTACCATGTTACCATGTATTAGACCTATTGATGTTAAGAATAGATGTCTAGGGGAAAAAGTATAAAAAAAGTACCGAACTCTAAGGCTAATTCAAAATGGGGAAGTCCATTAAAACTGACAAAATCAAAAGCTATCTATTAACGGAACAAGTGAAAGCAACTGCAATTTTTCTGAAATGGATGGTACAGGCATTTTCTGAAGAATATAATGAGTTAAAGCTAGATAAACCTGCATCTTGTATGACAGTTGTTTATAGTTTCGTTATATTGACAAAATTGGGTGAGCAACCCAACCAGACATAACAAGTTAATGTGACTATAATTGGGATCATGCAGTCAAAACTGTATGAAAAACGAATCGATATTATAGTAGGAAAAAATAAAACCAAAGGATATGAAACTTTATGATTTTCCCTTTTCCCCTTTTTAACCCAAACTTTAGCAGTTTTAACCTACAAACGACAATCAATACATTACACTTATCGACCTCAAGTAGGTTTTACATAAGCTGGTGACCCTAAGATATTCAAATAAAAGAATTTCAATGGAAATTAGTCTTTCTTGTCTATCAAACTATATACTTGCTCTTAATACATTCAACACTTGTCTTATATGCCTTGAATTCAGAATTCTATCTACAAATCCGAAGTAATGACATAGAGCTAACTTGACAAGCTCAAAAATTCAGATGCAACAGGAATATATAACAAGAAAAACAGAATGTATTCGATATCACCTGTATTTTCTATATGGATATCAAATTAATATGATTAAGACAGCAAATTCACAAACGTAAGTCGATGTGATATCGTGTTAGTTATGAACGATGATTAACGATAGTTAGATGATATGCTACATATAACGATATCATTTATTTATAGTTCAATTTGTGAAGTATAAGACACATTAATATAACATAATAAATTATTGCTATGACTTTTTTTCAAACAAGATTTGATTGATTGATTGGTGTTTAACGAAACTTTTATCACTATTGAACAAGAACTATAAAATTTATAACAAATATATTATCATATATACTTTATTATATACATCATAACCTAAAACAGATTAGTGTTTGGTTGACCCGAAGATCTAACAGCTATTCTAAAATTGATTTTATTTATAATTTGCAAGAAAAAAATATAAATTTATGATTCCGCCAGATTATGAATAATTTCCCAATCATTAATTATCGCATTGAATGTTTATTGAACAAACCTAGTATTTTAATCATCATCATCATTCAAGTCCAAAACGTGCACTGCAAAACATTATTGACGTTTATAAAAGCTATAAAAAAAAAGATTGAATACGTTATAGTTTGAACGTATGATAGTTGTCATTTTACACACGTTTGCCGTTGCTTTGATTAAATACCTAAAACATTGTTTTGTGTTCTTTCTAATCATGTGATAAAAGTAGCCATTTAGATTGAGAACTTAATTTTTGTTACTTGATTGTGTGTATATATAGTGCGGTGAATGAGGGCAGATTTAAAAAAAAATTTAATCCCCCCACCGAACATCAAATAAACTCATCAAATATGCTAAATATACGGCTCAAATCTATTTATATTTGAAATCAAACCTGTTTAACTTACAGTGAATTTAAAACTTATACACTGTTTAAATGTAACACAATGTAATGCACATTTCTTGGCAAAATAATTGTAATTTCTCCCTAGCAACAAATCTTTGTCCATAGCAACGGCAATTTTTTTTCTATTTTACAAGATTTAACTTTTCATACATGGCATCAAAAAGATAATTCAATATGCAAATTGTAAAAAGTAACAAACTCCAAAGAAAATGTCAAGGATAAAAATCAATGCTGAAATATCAACAAACAAAACCTCAGACAAACTACAGAAATCAGGCAAACTACAGCAATTCTTCAAGAGAACGTGGTAACTAAAAACACTTCTTAGAGTCCATCTGTGGAGTAAAAAAGTGTACCATATGGTGAAATTGCTGGTTGATACATTTTTTCATGAATTAATACGTGTACACCTTATATATTCTTTTAATTATACCGTATATTGATGAAATTAACAGATTTGTCTCTAGTGCTTGGTGGAGTTCTTTTAAGTGTTTAATGCCCCAGCAGTAGTGGGGTTTCCCTTATTAGCAACATGAAAATAATTTTGCGACAAGAATACTAATTTAGCGTTAAGAAATCTTAATATGAATTATCTAAAATAAATAAATATAGAAACATGCATTTTACGGTGTTTTTTTCAATATACGTGTATTTTCATTACAGTACTTCATGATAGCTTTTATAACTTGTGGCGTAAAGTGAAATACAAGTAGTTAGCTTGGTAGGTGTAAAAACAATACAGATTTTTATTAGAAATCATGAAAGTTTATTTTTTAACAGCCTGACCCCTTATTCTCGTGTGTACTGATATACAACAACGCCAAGCATGGTAGAGGGTCTGGGTGTTGGGTCATCATATCTGTATTCTTTAAATTTTTCTCTATTGTTTATATATTTGTTTAATTCGTTGTTGTCATTGTGATTAGTTTGATATTCGTTTGATATCTTCCGCCTTTCTTTTACAAGTCTTAGAGACGTATGACTTGGCCTTTGATCATCATGACTATATTCATCATTCATTATGTCAAAATAATTCACAAAACAAAACCTGTTTACTTTGTTGGAATATCCCTTTATATGTAAACAATAAAACACTTATTATCTTTATTTTATAGGAATACACTTACCTAAGCATGATTAAAAAAAATGTTCAAAACATAACCTTTGAAAAGGCTGCAGACGTGTAGGATGCGAACAGACTCAGGCTGCGAACGTGTAGGGGGGCGTTAATAGGAGCGAGAGTGAATAAGAGCAAACATGATTTGGGGTGAACAGACCCAGATTCATTACGATTTAACCTTGTCCGTTCTCTTACTTTACGTTGCCACATCCAAATGCTAGAAATTTGTATACAATGCTTTTTTAAAGACATATCAAATTCAAATTAGGGTGGCATCATTTTCAAAAATAAATCTCATGTTTCTCACCATTTATCAAAATTTAAGCATAAACTCTTTTAAATTTGTTTTCAGTATATTTTTTTTTCTGTAGTAACAAAAATTGACAAAAAGAATGTAATCATTTTTGTTTCAAACATGTGAAATAGCCAATAATAATTAAAAAAAAACGGTAAAACTAGCTATTATTACAAAAATATCCACTATAACATGCAAAATTTGAAAAAAAAAACAGGATCATTTTTAAAAGAATTGGAACAACAGAGAGAATACAGGGATTCTAACCTAAACTTACAAATCCCTTTCTTTAACTCATTGATTTTAACCATGCTAACCTCGCGGCTACTAACTCATACTATACGACTGCCTACTGTGTCTATATAAAGGTACAAGCCCTATGTGTCCGATGAACCGATGTATATCAGATGTTTATTTAAATATATAAAATAGACATCTATAGTGTAACCCATTGGAAGCCGAGAGGTTTCGTCAATGTGTTGATGTCAGTCACACATAACAGATTTCAAGGAAGGGTTCGATTCCCAGTGAAGGCATATACAAATTACAAAAAATAAATGTAAGTTTTTAAATTAATTCCATTAGTGAACAGAAATCAGTAAATTAGCCAATTCAAACTTAATGAAATTAGGCACACAAAGGAAACAATTGAATATAATTTGGTGAGTCAATTTCAGCGGCAGATTTAGGAAGCGTTGATTCTAGAAAAAGAATCCACGGTAAATGAATAGGCTGACGTCACCACAATGGTTTAATATGTCCACACATCTTACTTGCCTTACATGGACACATGTCTGTACATGAAAGGTTCTGCTCGAAGCAAACACATTATTTTGAGCACACAGATTTTCCTTTACAAGTACAGACAAGGTCGTGTAGGAAGTCCGACGATATTTGACCCTCGAAAAATACCGTCTTCAAACCATCCTTATAAATGCGGCATCCAAACTTTAACGGAGGTCTAAGAGGTGGTTTAGGAAGGTGATGTATCATACTTGTCTGCAAAGATGATCGAAGCAAATGTTGCCTAAATGTTGATTCACAATTCCATCGGATTGGCATCGGCATCGTAGAAAATACCCTGTAGCCTTTTTTATGATATTTTTTCTAGTTTTAATTTGTTATTTGTTTATTAATATAAAGATTGGTGGCCTTGTATTTCATATTTGTCGAAAATAAAAGACGTTTATGGTCTAAATTAAAAGAAAAAGGCATAAATATGATAATAAGGGGATGTTTTAGTATTGCAAATGAGACGACTATCCACAAAAGACGTAATTCATGTTCAAGAATAAAGATTTATCATGTCAAACCCATAGCCTTTTTTTTCATTTAAAATATAAATAGAGGCTACAAAGAGCCCTAATTTCCCACCTGGTATGTTTGCATAAAATTGATACAATGCAAAAAAGAATATTTGTGTGAAGTCGTCGTCATGTAAAATTTGCACCGGGTTTTTATCAAATGTTTTTAAACTATCAATCGCGTTCATTCGAGATAACGTTATTTACTTAGCGGAACCTAAAGCATTCCAAAAAATTGAGATGTGCCAAAAACAAACTTCATTGATTCACCATTATTGATTCCCCTTAAAATGACCCAATCAAAAACTATAACAAAAAATTTACAACATCGGAAACAGCATACCTAAGTCTCGCCTTTTGAATCCTTTAAGGCAAAACAAAAATGATCGTGTAGTGATGTTGCGTAGAATCATACACACCTAGTTATCAACTTTATTCCGAAAAAGCCTAATCCTTACAATACTAAGACCACAGCCATGCAAACAATAACTAGAAAAGTCCACATTTTGGACCATAAACATATAAAATTTACGCAGAGTGTTCCTGGTCACCATTGGACACATATAGAGAGTTGTTTACATTTTCAGAGCCTTTAAATCCATAGACTGTGATACTTACGTTTCTGACAGTTAGAACCACCCCATCCTTGAGCACATCCACTGGAACAATTTCCATTGACACTTTCACAAGCCTCGCTTTGATCTGCACAATGACATTCATATTCACAGGTGTTCCCAAACCGTCCAGCTGAACAGTCTAATATATAGTATATTTATGATAGAATAAAGTGTATTTCTTTTGAAAAACTTCCACTATCTTGACATGTGATACTCTTTGGTGCTTTGAAATGATTTAAACGTCCAAAAAAAAAATGTTTTTAGTTATTATAAAACAAATTGTATGTACACAGGTCATTTATTGAATATTTTACCTTGAATAAAATGTATAGTTTGAATAAGGTAAACTACCGAGTGACAAAACGAGTTAACAAACATTTAAAAACATTCTTTGAACACTACTATGGATTTTCAGGGTCATCTTAGGTCTTTTTTCTCACCATATATCTTGTCCTTATAACTTCATTATATCCAATTTCGAAACCATTGCTAATGAGATATATCTTAAACGTGAAACATAATTATATGTTTTGTATGAAATTAAATCAACAAACTAATTGAATGTGAACATTTGTGTGGTTTGTTTGTCAATACGTTTTATTGTTGGCTTGGTAGTGGATTATTCATTTTTTCGAAGGAGTCATGGGCATTTCAAAATGTATTTAAAAGTTTAATCCATAGAAGCAGTGAAGAAATTTCAATGCCAAATTATTTCTCATAAAAAAATTTCACAAAAAGGTGAACGTTGTGTAAAAATGCTAAAGCATTATCGAAAGATATTAAGTTCACAAAATTTCTTTCACACTACCGTTCATTATTACAGCTTTCCCATTCTGATTCTACTTTCCAATATACTATACTATTAAGGCATACATCAAATGATTTATTTGACCTGGGGTCCGTCTTACTCTTGATATCTACTTTTAAATATTAATTCAATGTGTATACTTACAACATAACTCGGAATATTTAATATGCAGCATAAAGGCACAAGTCAATGTATATATATATATATATATATATATAAACGCCTGAAAAGTGTACAAAACAACACCAATAACAAAAAAAAGAAAACTATAAATGTAATTATTTATAAATATTTCGGATAACAGATATCCTTCATCAGTATGATTATGATCATTGATGTCAAAAGAATCATATCAATCTACTTTGATCAAACTATAACAATCTTGAAATTTATACAATAAAACAGTTAAACCGAACATCATAGTATAGACGCTTGTACAATTCTAAAAATTTTAAACATGACATAGGTTATATAGCTATTTACAACAGAGACTGCAAAGATATGCTTCAAATAAAAATAGTAATGTGCGATATGAACTGGCACAATTCTAAAATTTAAAAGGTGACGACAGTTACGATGTTACAGGAACTATTGCGTGAACAAACATTCCAAATAAACAGCACTGACCGATCTAAGTTTGTAAAAATTTCAAATTTGACAACGGTAGAGTAATTACAACAGAGGCTGCGTATTTAAACATCCCAAATAAATAGCAGTTAAAAAATATAATAATAAATTTCGACTAAGGTTAAATAGTTGAACGTGACTGGGTACTTTTACATCCCTCCAAGATGAATAGAACCAAGCAATTTAAACTAATATAATTACAAAAATTTTTAGAGTTGAGAAAGGTAATGAAATAGAAGCAGAGACTGTAGTAATAAGTAATATAACCCAAATGTAAAGCACTGCGCGAATTCGAACTACATCTTTTCATTTTCACGTAGATGTGCTGGACAATTTAGATTCCGCTATATCTTGTATTGAGAAGAAACGTCAGAATAAAGCCATTTCGTACTTAGAAGATTCCAAAGAGCTACTGAACAAACGGAATAAGCATATAAGGATCGCGGATAAGTCCGAAGGGGGTTGGCAGACGGTCAGTGAATACTTATCTGACGAGCTAGCGAGTGATTCGGAAGATGAGAAACGCATTAGGGCCGCGGATAGCAGGGCAGTCAAGAAAATGTGACGCTAGCGATATAGGTGCAGGAGGTTTTATACAAAACTCAACGCATGTAATGTATAAATCCTGGACGAATTCAGAAAAAGTCAAAAGCTCCACATGGAGAGAGGTAAAAGCAATCGAGCTGTGCTTAGTATCATTTGCACATTTAGTATGCAACAGTGCGGTTGTTTTTTATACAGACAATCAGAACGCAGTGAGCGTTATTGAAAAAGGTAGCAAGATATTAGAACTTCAAAACTTGACTCTTTCAATTTTTAATACTTGTATTGTGAATTGTATTTCTATAAATGTAAAATGGATTCCACGAGAAGAAAACGAGCAAGCAGATTATTTAAGTCGAATCGTTGATATCGACGATTGGGGGACTTCAGATGAATTTTTTGAGTTTGTAGATAATTTATGGGGTCCTCACTCCATTGACAGGTTTGCCAATATGGAAAATAGAAAATTGTCTAGATTTAATGCTTTATATTGGAATCCGGGTTCAGAAAGTATAGATTCATTTACATGTAACTGGCATGAAGAAAATAACTGGTTAGTACCACCAGTAACACTGGCAGCTAAAGTCATTAATCATTTAGTCAAATGTAGAGCTGTTGGAAGTCTGATAGTTCCAAAGTGGTCCTCATCGCCGTTTTGGCCGTTACTGTTTGAGGAAGGTTTACATTACAAACCATATGTTGAAGATGTTATTGAGTTTTTTGAGGCAAATAGAATATTTGTTGCCGGACATAATATAAATTCTATTTTTGCTCAAGGTGATTTTAAAGGAACTGTTTTAGCAGTGAGATTAAATGCTTCAGATATGTAATATTATATATATATTTTACAGATTATACATGTTGGTCACTGGACAACCGTTTTTTACTTGGTAATGATGGTCACTGGACTGTTAATGAATTGGCATAGGAACGTCACTGGACTCGCACTTGTTTATTGTTTTATGTTTGTCACTGGACATATGATTTGTAATGGTCACTGGACCAAGAGTATTGTAGTCACTGGACTACGCAAGTAAGGTCACTGGACCGCTTAAATGGATTAGGAATTTATAAGGTAAATATAGATTTATTGTATTATTACTGTTTAATTACTATTTCATTACAGAAAATTTTTACAACTGGTTTTTGGAGACAGAGTCACATTATTTCTCACCCACAGTTGAAAATACTTTTTCAAAAACTTTCATCAACAGTACTAGATTCAAGGGCTAACGCTACAGTATCAAAGTACATTGGGTATTTCAAAAGATTTGTATTATGGACACGCAAATATTCAGAGATAACTTCGATACTTCCGTGTAATGAATTACATGTCAGTTTATATATGCAACATCTAATAGATACCAGTAGCCATTGCAGCGTCGTTGAGGCCGCATTTTACGGTATTAAGTGGGCGCATCATATTGCAGGCGTAAAGAATCCTTGTGATTCAGATTTTGTAAGAAGTATACTCGATGCATCTAAACGTATGTTATCTAGACCGATTCAGAAAAAGACACCAGTAGATCCAGATATTATGAAAAAACTTTTTAATCTTTATAACAAGAAGTCGAGATCACTTAAAGATTTGCGTTTACTGTGCATGTGTGATTTAGCTTACACTGGGTTTTTCAGACATAATGAACTATGTAATATTAAGGCCAAACATATTTCTTTTACTGTCGAATATGCAGACATTTTTATAGAAAAGAGTAAAACTGATTGTTATAGAAAAGGAAAGAATATTTATATTGCTAAATTAGATAGTCCTCTGTGTCCTGTAAAAATGTTAAAGTCCTATTTGGCGGAAGCTAAAATAGAGATGAATTCTGATATGTACATTTTTAGGTCATTAACATTTTTTAGAAAATCCAATATATTTATGTTACGCTCTAAGAATGAGAAATTATCATATACACGAGCAAGAGAAGTGATAAAAGAGGCTCTTCATAGTATCGGATGTTCCGAAAAAGAGTTTGGCTTACATAGCTTTCGTTCAGGTGGGGCTACCATGGCAGCTAGAAACGGTATATCAGATAGACTTTTTAAGATACACGGCCGCTGGAAATCAGACTTGGCAAAAGATGGTTATGTGTCTGAAGATATGACAAAGCGTTTATCTGTTACAAAAAATCTCGGTTTATAACCACTGCTTTCTTTGTGCATCGACATGGTCACCGTGCTGGACAAAATCAGAAATGTGTTTCTTATTTTATACCAAGAATTATATAGTATACAGTTTGGGTTTGAAGTAGGTTTCAGAAATTAAGTAGCGATGTGCACATAAATACTTTATGTTCGTTTGAACAAGTGAATTAGAACATAAATATATTTATGTGCTCTACGCGTAGTTATTTTTAGTCGCGTAGTACCTAGGGTAAGAACCGGTTTGGATTTCGCGGGTAGTATATAAGAAAAGGATCACGTTTTTTCAGTTATCGAGGTTAGGCGGTGACCACGTTGATTACTACTACAGTGTAGACATATTTACAGTAGTGTAGAATTGTAATGTAATTCAGAGATCAATTAGATGTGTACTAATTATGATAATTGTTTATTTTTAGATATTCTGTAAGGCCAGTGTACCATAAACATTTTTATTTAGTGGACGTTACGTATTTACATTCAGTGAATCCAATGTTTTTGTGGACAGTGAAAGGATGATTTAGCTTGTATAATGTTTAATAAAATGACATGGTCACCGTGCTGGACAAAATCAGGAATGTGTTTCTTATTTTATACCAAGAATGATATAGTATACAGTTTGGGTTTGAAGTAGGTTTCAGAAATTAAGTAGCGATGTGCACATAAATACTTTATGTTCGTTTGAACAAGTGAATTAGAACATAAAAGTAGATTGATATGATTCATTTGACATCCATGATCATAATCATACTGATGAAGGATATCTGTTATCCGAAAAAAATTATAAATAATTACATTTATAGTTTTCTTTTTTTGTTATTGGTGTTGTTTTGTACACTTTTCAGGCGTTTATACAATTTATTTATTGTGTACATGTATCGTTACTCGTAACGACCAGCGCTCTCGTGGGAAAGATCGTTGACTATTATTCAGACGTTTTATATATATATATATATATACAAGTCTAAATTGAAAACAACGTTCAAACCTATGATTGCGTTGGATAAAAATCACAATTTTTATACGTGTGCATGCAAAACAAATTTCTTGGTAGAGGGGTCTAAATACAGCACAAACAACATTTCCAAAAGACCAAAAGAGTGAAAAAGTATATTTTAACAAAATGCATTTGACTAGCAGGTCGAAAAACGAATGTTCTTAAACCCTGCTGACTGCCATGGCGATTGCCAAATAAACTGATCAACAGATGTAACAAAATGGATCTTAATATTTAATTTAATAACAAACAGAAAACAATAAACTTGCAGAAAAGATGGTATATCGCAAACTTGAGGTGCAAAAATTTGTTCACCATATCCGGATTTCGACAATTAATGTCTCTTCAGTGATGTTAGGAATCGAAACGGTATTTGGAAGGCCATATAATTTACCTCAATTTAGGATTGACTCTTGAATTTTGAAGAGTCGAAATAGGATGAACGTATTATATAAACCCGAATGCAAACATAATACAAGCCCAAACGAAAAAATATAAACAAGTCTAAATTGAAAACAACGTTCAAACCTGTGATTGCGTTGGATAAAAATCGCAATTTTTATACGTGTATATAATACAATAGCAAATAAATTCGCATCAATCTACGTACTGTACAAAGCATCACATGCTATACAAGCTCTAAAGTGCTGAGTTAAGCTCTGCTAAGTTTTATATACGTACTGCAATTATTTATGTTACAATATTCCCATCTCGTGTCTTTGTTGGTCGTGTAACACCAGGGTCGATCAGAATCCTGAGCAGTTCGGCAGTAATTTTCCGGCATCGTCCGATCTGGAAAATTTGCCTCTGTATAAAAATGAAATTCGTTTACCCATTTCTGACAGGTGTAATTATTGTAAGTCACTGCTACTGTTCCCATATAATTGTCTGCTTGTCCATTATAAAAGCAGTTGTTTGCTGTTAGTAAATGTAGAAAAATAACAAGGTTTATGTTGCAGGTTTTATAAGTAGTATATGTAACATGAAATATCAGTTATATAACTTAATTACTTACAAAATTTTTATCATAATTCTATTCGAAAAGGTAGCTTTCACATTTCGGCATACGATTTTAAATTTCTTTGTTGGTCACACAAGGGTATATGCAATTAATAAATATGCTGTTTAAAAAACCCTGAAAATCCTGCTGTATATATAGATGATTTGATTGCAATTTTAAAACAACATATAAGTTACAATTTAGGTGTATGATAGCAGTACACACTGTGTTTTCATTGCTAAATGCTCATGAAATTTCCCTATTTTTCTTTTAAATTTCTTTGATTTTCTATTCAAATCTTCGTTAAAGACCCCTTTTGGTTTGATATTCAATTAATTTTGAAGCTTTGTAAAATGAAAGTGTCTCATATTTCGTTTTCTTAGATTATTTATTTGTTACTGAAAAGAAATTTGAAGTCATTTTTTGACTATTGACAGATTACCATGATGAAAAAGAAATGATGAATTTGCACCATGGTGTAATGCATTTATTATATGGTATCAAAATCGATTCTCATACTAACTAAATGTTAACGACATGATTTGAAATGTATATCGATGATGAGCTTACCATTTGGACTCCATACCAAAAAGGTTGAGGCGTCATGCGAATGATTTTCATTTACCATCATTAATTTACAACAGAAACTACTTACAAAGCTGACATCGTGGTCCCCAAAATCCCTCCGCACATCTTCCACTATGGCATTCTCCCGTCTTCTTATTGCATGCTTGGTCCTCATGACATCGACATCGGAAAATACATCTATAACCAAACGTTCCATTCAAACATTCTTCTGACAAGCGGGGCAAGTCGAATTCTGTCGAATTAAATATAAAAACTATTACACACAAGACTATATAAGATATGGTGTGCTGTATTACTGTTTAACTAAAACAATGCTAGTAAAAATATATATACATATGTGTGTGTGGGGCGGGGGGGGGGGGGGTTATATAGCTCCGCGTGTATTCAAGTATTTATCCATCCTTGATTCGGCTTTCAATATTTCGTTCCTTGGGGAAGGTAAATCCAGAAAAAAGCTCCGGACGTATCAAAAATGTGTTATTTTCATTTATTTATAAACAACAAAAGATTATTCAGTGGGAAATCTAATGTCAAAATATTACCTCCCCTGTAAACACTAGAAACCTCATCTTTTCAATGTTTATTCCGTTTTAGCAAGGACGCTATAATTATAAATACACAAGAAAACGTTCTGGTAAGTAATTATAATGACAATAAAAATGAATTGAAATAAAAACAAAATTTCCATATAATATTATCATTTCCCTCCTAAAAAAGCAAACGACGAGTACAGCAGGTTATAGGAGCTATGTGTAAAATTGGTTAAAATGTTGCTATGGTAATAAATTCCTGGAATTTCAATTTGATTTTCTACTGTCTGTATACCTTTTTGGAGCATGCCAACTATCCGTATATGTATGCAGCTAGATCAGTGAAGTTAAGGAGAAAATTCTAAAGGAACCGATTGATATGCAGCAAAGATTAACACTTTTGAAATTAAGTTAAGCAAATTCAAACGGACCCTATCCCGATGGAACTATTGAATATGATAAGGTTGAAAAGACCGGAAAATTATGTAAAGAAATCGAGACAACCTTTTCTCAAAAAAAATTAGTTAAATTCTTTTAACGTATATCCTAATTTGGAAAAATGCTTACCTTTATTTTTTTTTTTGCCTGCAGAGATACAGGCATTTTTTAGACATTGGGCTAGATGTAATGCTATGTCAACAGATAGAGTGAATTATAAAGTATTTCAATGGGCTTTTAGAAATGCTATTGATCGAAAGAAAAACTGGTGTAACAGAATTATGAAAAAATTTAGAGAATGTAATTTAGATTTATACACTAATTTGGATAATGCGTTGCATAAAAATGTTATAACACAGTTAGAAGATTTTTTGTTTGAAAATTATAAGGTAAATTGGCATAATAGAATATTGTCATAAAATGTTGGGAAAAAAATAACGGACTTAAAAATTACTGAAATTCTTTTTGAAACAAAGATTACTTGAGGAAGAACATTACAAGTCGATACAGAAGTGCATTTGCAAAATTTAGGTGTGGTGTTGCCCCATTGCGAATAGAAACAGGTCGCTATGAAAACAAAACTGTAAATGAAAGAGTTTGCTTTGTATGTAATGATAAAATTGAAGATGAGAAACCTGTTTTATTAGACTGGCTTTTATATGCAGATTTGCGTGAAAATGTATTTAACAAAGTTAAAAGAAGTAATGGTGATTTTAATATTTTTTTCTGATGATGATAAGTTTATGTATATTTTTAAAAGTACTGATTGTTACTGGTACTGGTTGCCAAGACCTGCTTTAATATTTTGAGTAGAAGAAATGGTTTTTTATATGCTTGATTGATAGTTATCTTTTTACAGAACTGAAACATTTTATAGATATGAAAATTGATGACCTTAAAGATCCTTCGATTTTGTATGTACATGAAATATATCTAATAACCCACTTTTTCAAATAATTTCTTTGAAATGTACGATTGTTGTTTAGAAATGACTTTTAATCAGTATCGCCACAAACATTGTTTTACTATTAATTGTCTCGTCATTTTCATAAGAAGAGTGACTTTTCTATTGTTCTCGACTCATCGGTTTTGCTACTGTATTGCTCGTCGACTTAAGGTCACAACATCGGTTACAACATAGATAAGTCCGTTTAGTGTAGGTTTTGGTTAGAACATTTGGATTATAAAACTGCCATTAACATGCTATCGATATAAGAAGATGTGGTATGAGTGCCAATGAGACAACTCTCCATCTAAGTCAAAATTTATAAAAGTAAACCATTATAGGTCACAGTACGGTCTTTAACACGGAGCCTTGGCTCACACCGAACAGTTAGCTATAAAGGGCCCCAAAAATTACTAGTGTAAAACCATTCAAACGGGAAAAACCAACGGTCTAATCTATATAAAAAACGAGAAACGAGAAACACTTATGAACCACATCAACAAACGACAACTACTGAACATCAGATTCCTGACTTAGGACAGGTGCAAACAAATGCAGCGGGTTTAAACGTTTTAATGGTACCAAACCTTCACCCTTTTTCTGAAACAATAGTGTAACATCACAACATAGAAAGACACACTATAAAATATCAACTGAAATAGCTTAACTCAATCAAAGGACATATTAACACCATTGAACATACACTGAACGAATAAATTTGACCTATGATACAATGTAAATACAAAATAAATAAACTAAGGGAAGAATAATAAAAGGAACATGTTATATCGGTAAGAAATGTTAAACAATTAAAGAAAAACAACATGCTCGAACAAAAATATCAGCCATTTGCAATAACTTTAAACACAGGTAAATGAAAATAATTTTGTTGTTAGGTATACGTGTACAGTACCAGTAGAGAAAGGAAATATTTTTACAAAATAAATAATTTTGATGTTCATAGTACGAAGTTAAAATTTATAGTAATACCAAACACTTATCAAAGCTGGTATATTGACCAGATATAACCCTGAATAACATTAAATAACAAAAAAGCAATACAATTAGTATCAACAGGTCAAATAAACAAGAAAGTACGATTTGAGAGTACTCGCAGTTACTAACATGAATTAGATCTATTGATGTAAAGAATATATGTGTAGGAATATCAACAGCCAAATCCATTCAAAGACTATATTTTTGCTAAACAGTTAAAACACCTTCTATACAAGGCAAGCCTTCAAGTGCTGACAATGATTGCAATATTTGATTATCCGAATAAACAATACTTTTCTACAAACTTGTTTCTACCAAAAACAGAATAGTTTCCTTTTACTTAAATTAACTAAATGAAAATTGATATCAACGAAAATGAGTCTCAAACAACCGAAAGATAAATGTTTACACAAAATAAAAGAAAATAAGAAAGTAAAGCTGTATAAAATAGATTTATTTCCATGTTTTAATAATTACATATTTCGGACCATACAAACTGTTCACCTAATTATCAAACTTTCAGGAATTTCGTCCTTTAATATTAGATGGTCTTTTATGAAACCGTAATAGGCTGTAATATTGCTGATTGGACGTTAAAATCCAAGAAACAACGACCAATTATATTGTTAGTCCCGAAATTGTTTGTAAATAGCTCAAATCTTATGTTTCTGATATAACAAACAATAATTGTTTGCCAAAAAGGAATCTATGATACCAAAAGCAAATGTCAATCAGCAACGAAATGATCTTCAAATTGTCGATCAGTCCTTCATCTTTAGATTCTTTCAGAAAATGGCCTGTTTTCTTCAAAACACAACATGGTATACTTTTAACTCATATCTGGAATCAAATGGTATTTGTTTTCAGCCTTCTATATTCTAAGTAAAAAGTAAAATGACAAAAATACCGAACTCCGAGGAAAAGTCAAAACGGAAAGTCCGTAATCGATTGGAAAAATCAAAAGCTTAAACACATCAAACGAATGGAGTACACCATTCTCAGTTTAAATCAGTTTTACTGTCATTACATAGCATTAGCTATGAACGAGTAAAAGATTGGTTTCTATGAAATTATAATGAAACATCCGAACATTATATTGATGTTTTATATATATATATATATATATATATGTATATTACTTTATCTATGTATCCAAAATGAAACGTACACAACAAGCTGCGGTGATTAACACAGCGCGATTTGAACTACATATTTTCATTCATCCCATTTTGGTGACAACGTTTTTTATTTTCTTATCCAAAATCTTTCCAGAGCGATTCTCTCCTCCCTAGACCAAGCAGTGTTGTGGTCTATGATGGTAATAGTCAGTTGATTCAAATCTGCTTTAGTGTGGTAAAATCTCAAATCACGACTGAGAGGATGGTCTGGATTACATTCATAGTCACAACGGTGGCCGTTCAATCAATTGTGAAATGGCTGTTCTGCCTCACCAACATACTGATAACACATTTACACTGTAGGAGATACACAGTATTTATGTCTTGCAAGTAACATGCAAAATATGGTGTATATCGTACCCGTGGAGTGACTGTAAGAAGTAGAGTGTTCAGTATATTATTGCAAATCAGACATTGTTTGTTCTCACCACCCTTTCAAGAGCCCGAAGACAAAGAGTATGGTTTAGAGAATAACTCAGCTCTCAGTATCTAAGGCTTTTGGGCCTATAGAAAGCCAGTACGGGTTGCTGGTGTAAGATCTTTGATATTTTATGATGTTTTTTATTTCTTTCCAAATTTTGCGGATAAGGTGTGATAATTTGTCAAATTTAAGATGGTAAGTCAGCACAAACACGGCTTTTTTGCTGACCTTTTTGCAAATATGATAAGCTAGAGAGAAACCTCTATCAATGTATTTTCTTCTGTAACCCCGATTTTTTTAAGCGACCGCGAAGTTCTTGTAATCGCCTATTTATAGTATCATTGGTGGAGCAAATCCGCTTTATTCTGATAATATATACATGTATGTCTTCAAACTACGATACCGCACACACAAGAAAAATCACAAAAGTCAAGAGATGTGTGCAATGATATAAAAACAGGATGAATAGTACTAATTCGTTTATTTAGCGTCTTAAGTTAAACACAATAGGACACTCTGGCGACAGTTCACTGATTTTTGGATCCAAACTATAAGATAATAGCAGTGTCTTGGTGTCACGGCGTCAATAAGGAAATACAAAGAACAGTCGTGGTCTATAACCAGTTCCACGGCAATAATGATAACAAATGTCAGTATCAACCAAGCACTAGGACATTAAATTAAAGTTCAATGAATTTGGTGCGTCCGATGCACTTTTCTGGA